TACATTCTGCACTCTTCATGCTATTCTTTGCCAGCCATGAATAGTGTCCTAGGATTGCCTCAGTCTTCTCTTGAAACTGCTGTCCCACCTTCTTGTCCCAAACATACCCCTTCAAGTCACAAAGGTCATAGGCTTCCTCCATGGCCTTGCACAAAGCTTCCATGTGTTTTCCTTTTGTGTTTGTAGCCAGGGTCCCAGCCAACAGTGTCGCCACAGTGGCAAATTTCCTGACTCTCCTCCCTTTCACATGTTTCAGGCAAGGGAACTCATCACCAAAGATGTCTGACACATTGAGTCTGGGTATTCTTTCCCCTGCTGGGGTTTCAAGTTCCTCATATCTCATGGCCACCATCTTGTTGACTTCCACCAAAGCCCTTTTCTTTCCCATAGGAAGGCTCTTGACGATGGTTGCCAAGAGGTTCCCATAAATGTGGGATGCCACTCCAAGGTCTACAAGGTGCAACAGATCCAATTTCATGCTCCAGAAGGAAGTTCCTGGCACTCCAAATAAGGGATGTGATACTGGTGGTGGTGCTGACACACTCCTCAAAGTAGATTTCCAAGTTGCATCTTTCCTGAAATCTGTAAATGGCCGCACGCTCTTCTCCTCCTCAAAGTAGTTGTCACAAAGGCAATATGGGTATGGGTTGTTGCTCATGGCAGTGGGCCACCCAAAGTCACTGGAGAACCATTCCAAATCTCCTGCCACCACAAACAGAACTCCTTTTCCTGCTTCTGCCATCTTCTTGAAGCTGCCAGCAATTGCTTCCCATATAGGCTTCATCGAAGAAGCAGTTCCTGCACTCTTGGGGAGGCAAGTCAGTAGCAGCTGAGATTGTTTGATGGCCACACCAGAGATTGCGCATCTCATTGACACAACCAGCAATGAATCCACCTCACTGTAAGGGGCACTATCTCCATGGATGAGCCATGGAATTGGCCAGCTGCTCCCACCTCAGGTTGCTATCTTACAGTACACATAATGGCTATCTTCTGATGGTTTCTTGACATACTAGCAAAAACACAAAAGAAAAAGGCAAAACTTATCCTCAAATTCCAGCATCGAGTTTCCTCTCACTTTCTTCCAGAAAGATTTCCAGCATTGCAGTTGGGGATTGTTTTTCCAATCCTGTTTCAACCAGAACTCCTTCAAAGTTTTCTGGCTGCATGTCAATTCTTGCAAGAGGTTCTTGTTCTGCAGTGTATCCACCCATGCCTCAGGCAATATTACAGGTAAATCTTTCTCTTTCTCCAGCACAAGTCCCTCAGCATTCTTAACTCTGACCACAGTGGCCACCTGCACTGGCTGTGGCGAAGACATGCCACCAAAGAAAGCCCTGACCAAGTCCCTGTGGCAATTTTGCTTGGCAAAACCACTGCCTCCAAGTTTGGCCAGAGTGTGGAGGTCCTGTCCGCTTGCACCACTCATCATTGCTGCAGCAGCATACTGCTGCACTTCACAGGCACTGATTCTCCCCCAGCAAAATTTGTTGAGCAGCATGATTGCCAAAGGGGAGGTGAGCTGCATCTCATCGCCAGGGTCAGGCACATGTTTCCTTTTTTCCCCTTGCATATTTGCTATGTTTTCCTTGGGCCTCATGCCTGCATGATCACCACCTGCAAGCAGGGCTGTCCAGCCACTTAAAACTTCATGGCTTTCCAGCCACCACACTCAAAAAGAAACTTGTGGCTATCCAGCCACCACACTCCAAGAAACAAGTCTTTTGGCTATCCAGCCAACAAGAAAATACCTGCCTACTCCTATGGCTATCACTCGCCCATTTTTTCTTCTCACAGAAGCTGCCCATGGAAATCCACAGCAGGTTCATATCTAATTAGGTTCTGGCTGCTCCTCTTTCTTTTCCTGCTTTCCATCTTCAGCAGAGTCAGTAGCAGGCCTTGCAGGGTTCTCCTCCTGTCCTTGCCCTTCTTCTTCTTCTTCTTCTTCAGTCTCCACAACTTCTGGACTAGGTGGTATCAGCACCTGGCTATCTTCATTGGGGTCCAGAACCCAGTGTGCATACCTGGGGTTTGCTGTCTCCTCCCCCTTCACATACAAAATCTTCCTTCTCTTGGCCATGGTGCTGTGATTGCCTTGAACCCAGAAATTCTGGAAGAAGAAGTGGTTACAGGTGCTGAAGCAAGGTTTTATGGCTATCCAGCCAGCCATCACACTTGAGATTTAACAAGTTTTCATGGCTATCCAGCCACCACACTCCAAAACAACAATTCTTGTGGCTATCCAGCCACCACTGTTCAACCTCCTGACATTTTCCAGCTTCCCAAGCTCTAGAGCAATCTGCCTCAGTTTGAGGACTTACCTATCCTGCCTCAATTTGAGGACTTCGCTGCTTCAGTCTTCCTCCTCCTCTTCTTTTTTAGCCTTCTTCTTTGGTGGTCCTGCTACCAACTTCTTGCATTTCTTGCTCTTCTCCAAGGCTGCCAAGCTCTCCAACAATGCCTTCTTGCTTTCTTCCTTCTTGCTTCCACTGTTGATGGCCTTCTCTATCTTTTTCTGGCAGGTCTGCACTTCTGTCAGGGCAGAGCTCAGGATTTTCAATTCATCCTTGCAGCCAGCTTTGCCTTTCATATCCAACTTCGCCTCCTGCAAGGCACCTTCATCCTTGCAAAGTTCTGCCTTGAATGCCAGCAGCTTCTTGAGCAAAGTGCTTTTGTTGTCATCCTTGCTGACAGTGCTCATCTCTTCCCACTTGTTCTTCTTCTCCTTGGCCTCTTCCTTTTCCTTCTGTTTCTTCGTATCCTTGTCCTCATCATCTTTGACAGAGAGCTGCTTATTGAAGAAGTCCTTCAGCTCAGGCTCGATCTCCATGTCATCCAGTTGATTGCCAGCTAAGGCAAAGCTGGCATCCCCAACATCTTCCAAGTTGAGGTTCTCCATGCTGAGCCAGTCATCTTTTCCAGCCTTGTGTTTGTCAGTCTTGTAAGCCACAGTCTGGCTTTTCTTGGCCTTCCACTTGACATATTCACTTTCATCAGCAAACTCGAAGAACCTTGGGTCTGTGGGTGACTTGCGAAACTTCATTGTTCCTGCTTTCAGCCTGCTCATGGCTTCAGCCTTTCCATATTTGTCCACCTGCTGCTTCCATGTGTTGAACTTCACCATGCCTCCCTTCTCATCAGTTTTCTCATAGACCAGCATGGCCTCCTTGTAGTTCTTGGCAATGGACCCTCCATCAAGGATGAAGGACCTCAGCAGCTTGTGCTTCCTCTCCTGGCTTCCAGTTCCTTTGGTGGCTTCCTTGTAGGAGCTCTCAGCTCCAGCCATCTGCCTATTCTTCTCAAACTTCTTCCACAGGCTCTGGACCTCATTTGCAGGGAGTTTGGCAAGGGCCTTGTCAATCTCCTTGGCTGAGCAGAGCTTGGCATCCAGCAGCTGCTGGTGTGTCTTCAGGTTTTTGGATGTGACTGTGTGTACAACTTCATCATCAGTGAGCATTTCTTCCTCCTCCCCTTCCTCACCATTGTCTTTCTCAACTTCCTTCTGCTTTCCCTTCAAAATTCCCTTCTTCCCAGTCTGTGCTGCTGGCTTCTTGAACTTTGCCACCTTTGTCACTTTTGCTGCTGGCTTCTTGGCCACTTTGTTTTCCACCTTGGAGCTAGGCCTCTTCAAACCCATGGCTTCCTCCAGCTAAGTGCGGTTTTTCCCTGGCAGCCAAAAGTGCTGCAGAAGATTTGGGTTCATTCCTTTTTTTTAATCTCACTAAAAATCACCAAAATTCACATGTTATCATGTGATAACATGTGATTTCACATGTTTTCACATGTTATCATGTCTTATCATGTCTTATCATGTCTTATCATGTCTTGTCACGTCTTATCATGTCTTATCATGTCTTGTCATGTCTTGCCATGGGTTTTCACATCTTATCATGTGATAACATGTGGTTTTTTGCCTTTCTGCACTTCTTTTAGTTTCCAATTTCGCAAATCCAGGATAATTGAATTCCAGAATGCTATAATTTCCCAAACTGCTTTTCCTTGGGCCTGCATTTTCTTAACCACAAGCCATTTCCAAGGCTTTCCTCCTGGATCTTTGGGCCACATTGTTTTACATGCCAGAGCAAGAATAGTTTTCCCAGGTGCCATCACTTGGATCTGTGTGCTTGACTTTCCAACAATAGAACAGGTGCATAGCTAGGGTGTGTTCTCCCAGATATGCCTTCCTTGGACCTTTGGGCTTGCAATTTTCAATATGCCTTCCTTGGACCTTTGGGCTTGCAATTTTCAATCCCAAAGAATGAAGTCTTCCATTTTTTCCTTGGGCCTTACATTTTTTCACATCCAAGAAGGTGTTACCCAACATGCAAAAGGTATAGTTTTTTCCAGTGTCTTCCTTGGGCCTTAGGACCTGCAATTATTCCAATCCAAGAGACTGTAGTTATCCCATTTATACCTCTAGGTGTTTCTTCAATGCCTGATGGTGTTTCTTCAATGCCTTCCCTGCAGCCTGATGTGTTCATATTTATTAATTACCTTGTTTTTCCCTAAGCAAGAGTACACACCTCATGGCTATCCAGCCACCATTCAAACACACCTCATTGAAAGTAAATCTCATGGCTATCCAGCCACCACTTTCATTTATTTAGTCTATGGCCACCCAGGCACCAGGACCACACAAGCAACTCCCACATGGCTATCCAGCCACCACTGACCAATCTTTCAAATCCATGGCCATCCAGCCACCACTGCACACCAGCAACTCCCATGGCTACCCAGCCACCACTCAAAAACACATCACTCAAACAAAAAGTCTCATGGCTATCCAGCCACCACTTCCATTTTTTAAGCCCATGGCTATCCAGCCACCACTTCCATTTTTTAAGTCCATGGCTATCCAGCCACCACTTGCATTTTGTAAGTCCATGGCTATCCAGCCACCACCACAAGCTACCAGCCTTTTTTCCATATATTGTTTCTCCAGCATCCTGCATCTGTCATGCAGTCTTTAAAAACTGGCTCACAGCAGCTGTCATCTGCAGCTACTTGCAGTACTGCATCACCCATGACTCGCCATGGTGCTTCGCCAGGAGCTTGAGCAGGTTCTTCTTGCCATTTTTTCTGTTCCCATTGCATTCTGCTTTCATGCAGCCTCTGCATCCTGGCGCTCTCAGCATGTGGTTCTTGTTCACATAGGTGTACTCCTTGCACTCACCACACTGCTTGAAGAGGTTCCAGTGCTCTTCCCAAAAAGATGGGTCCAGGCTCCCATCTTTATACTCAGGCACATTGGGCATGAGCTCCTCAGCCACCTTCTCAGCTTCCTTGCTCTCCTCCTCACTGTCTTCCTCTGGAACCCATACCAAGTATCCTCTGGGTCCTGTTCCCATGGCTTCATCTTCTTCCTGGACCTGGTTGTCCATGTAGTCGATCATCTCCTCCAGGAAGGTGTCAAAGGCAGAGGCCATTCCCTTCCCCTGCTTCTCCTCCACATACTTGTGGTAGGCCTTCCTCAGGTGTACTCTCAGGCTGTCCTGGCAACACTGGGACAGCACCTAAGCCTGACCAATCTCATGGCTATCCAGCCACCACATTAAATCCATACAAATCCCATGGCTTTCCAGCCACCAAAAAAAACAGAAATCCCATGGCTACCAGATATTAAATCCCATAATCCTGTAACTATCCAGCCACCAAAAACATGCAAATCCCATGGCTACCCCCCCCAAATTACCCTGCCTCCTTCAGCCATCCCAACTCCATCCTCTCACTAGCTGCCATTCCCAGCCGATCCTGGAATTCATTCCAGGCCATCTCAGGTGCCTTCTGGTGGTGGAGCTGCCTCAGCATCTCTCTGTAGCCCTTGCTCTGTAGCCCACCCTGGCTGGGGTTGAAGTCCTGCAGTTTTCCAGCCATACTGCCACTGCCAGTTGAGCTGGCTGGGCTACCTCCCAGCTTTGCCCTTTTCTCTCCTTCTTTTCCCTTGCCCTTCCCTTCTAAGCTGACCTTCTTCTTGCTTCCTTCCTCCTCTGCTGTGCTGCCTTCCTTCTTGCCTCCTTTTCCTTTTTCTCCACCATTTCCACTGTCTCCTTTTTCTTGTCCTCCACCATTTCCACTTTTTCCTTCTTCTTTTCCTCCAACTCCTTTTCCTCCACCTTTTCCTGGCTCAGTGGCAGCAGCCTGTGCAGGCTGGGCAGGCTGGGCAGCCTGCTGGGTGGCCTGAGGCTGGGCAGCCTGAGGCTGGGTGGCCTGAGTGGCCTGAGGCTGGGTGGCCTGAGTAGCCTGGGGCTGGGTGGCATGGGTAGCCTGGGGCTGGTTGGCCTGGATGGCCTGAGGTTGAGCAGGCTCTGGCACATCCTGGTGCTGTGGAGTCCAGTTCTGACCACTCCAGCCATTCCAGTCTCCACTCCAGCCAGTCCATGTACCCCAGGAGTCAACCCACTGGTTTGCCATGGCTGTCAGGCACTGGAGTCAAGTGTGCAGTTTCTCTTGAGCCACGATGCCACAAAAATCATTCTTTTGCCTGAAGCTAATCCATGGCTATCCAGCCACCACACTAGGCTTAGACAAATTTCATGGCTATCCAGCCACCACACTTCCCTTAAGTTACAAGTCTTGTGGCTATCCAGCCACCACAGACAACCCAGACAAATCTCATGGCTATCCAGCCACCCCACTTCCCTTTACAAGTCTTGTGGCTATCCAGCCGCCACTGACTGATTTGCAAACCCATGGCTATCCAGCCACCACAGACAACCCAGACAAATCTCATGGCTATCCAGCCACCTCTTGACAAATCCCCACCCAACCTTGTGGCTATCCAGCCACCACACTCTAACTCACTAGAGCTTTCTTTTTGTCTTTCCAGCTTCCTTCAGGTGTCTTCCTCACTTTGCCAATTTTTCCTTGGCTGCCAAAACATCAGCTAAGGAGCTACCCTTCTTCAGCATCTCCATGAGCTTCCTTGCAGCCTTGCTGTTCTTCTCGACATTCTTGAAAGTCACCACCTGGAAAAGCTGCCCAACACCCTTTGCCACCACTGCCACAGCAGTTGTCTTCCTATAAGGCATGAGCCTCATCTCAGCTTCCTTGTAGTTGACCTTGTCCTTGTTCACCTTTGCCTTTGCTATCTTACTCTTCTTGTTGATCTCCTTCAAAATCTTGCCTGCAGGCTTCTTGCTCCCAGCTGCAGCAGGCTTCTTCAAGCCCATGGCAGCTTTGAGGTTCTGCTTCCTGGCAGGCACAGGTGACACCTGCAGGGCAGCATCCAACAAGCTGGGGCCATCCTTTCCAGGAGTTCTGGGGACTTCCAAATCTAACAAATCTTGGGTCTCACAGCTTCCTTCCTCATCTTCTTCTCTTGATTCTTCTTCCTTCTTTGCCTTTGACCCTGAAGCACCACTTTTCCCATTTGGCCCTTTATCTGTGTCCACACCAAATGCTGCCCTCAACCCTTCCAGCTTTTCAACTTGCCAGTCACTGAGGGTACTGCAAGCCTCTTGAAACTTCTGGGGCACTCTCAGTCTTCGCATGTGTGTGCACATAGTCATGGTTGATTCAGCCAACTTCCCACCCAGTGTTGACCTCATCTCCAAATCAAAGCTTTCCTTCAAGCCAGGGAAAGCTCTGCACACTTGGGTGAACCCTTCTTTCAAATCCTTGTAGTTGAAAAGGAGCCCATCACTCACTGCCATCAACTTCAACAAGAAGTCTTCCTGAGCTAGTAGGGCTCCAGCATTGATAGCTTGTGCCTTGCTGATGCTCAGATACTTGCCAAACTGAAAAGCCTGGGAGTGCTCCACCTTCCTCACATGGTCCTTCAGGAGGTCCTCCAGGTGCTCCATATCTATGGTGGGTGTTGCTTGCCTTCTGCAGCCTCCTTTGCCCATGGTGATGTCAGGCACTGGAGTCAAGTGCAAAGTTGCTCTTGAGCCAGCATGCCACAGAAATCATTCATTTGTCTGAAACTAATCCATGGCTATCCAGCCACCACACTAAGCTTAGAAAATTTCATGGCTATCCAGCCACCACACTCTCCTTTACAAGTCTTGTGGCTATCCAGCCACCACTGACTAATGGGCAAATCCATGGCTATCCAGCCACCTTATTTAAAGCAACCCTCACATGTGGCTAAAGCAACCCTCACATGTGGCTTATATCCAGCCACCAGAGTCAGCCCTAACATGTGGCTATCCAGCCACCAGATGTATCTAAAATTCAATCGAGAAATCAATAGAAAGATCAATCGAGAGATCAATAGAAACTTGTCAGTTTTTCAAGAAAAAATGGTTTTCAAAAATCAATCGGAAATTCAATCTTTAAATTTTCAAAGAAAGCAGAATCTATTGAAAAAAAGCTGTTTTCAATCGAAGATTGATTTTGCTAAAAAATCAATCGTCCTATTGATTTTTTTCAATAGAGGAGCCTTTGGGTTGAGTCTCATCTTCACCACCTTTGTGGAGCGACTGAAGGAATGGTTCTTCAAAGAGATTGCCAGTGACAACGATCGGATCAGGTGGATTCAGAATGATAAGCTTCCACCGAGGCTTGAGCTCAGGGACTACTTTCACGCATTCGAGACCGAGCTCAACCGAAGTGAAATGATCGGATATGTCATGGCAACTCTCCACATGTTGCACATGACGGACATTTTGGTGCCCCAGTACAACCTGTCTTTGTACAAGCGCAGGCGTCCTGCAGGGGAAGCTACTATGCGTGACATCCCACCAAAGATGGAGCATCTCCCAGTCAGGTTTGTGCAGGTCCTCACCGCTTTGCGGGAGAAGACGAACAAGTCCGCACCGAGCGTCTCAACCCCAGAAAGCTTCACGGCAGAGGAGTTGAGAGATCGCCCAACTGACGCTGGTGTCGCCGATGACGATGATGAGGAAGGCGACCCATGGGATGCTCTGGATCCCAATGAGTATGAGGGCCCATCGGTGGGAAAGGCAAAGGCCAGTCATGCAGCTCCTCCTGACCCCAAGGCGAAAGCTCCACCTACACAGGAAGATTCAACTCAGGCCACCCCAGCCGGTGAGCCCACGCAAGAAAATGAGCTCAAAGGTACGATCATCCCGAAACATGCACTTGGACACATTGACAAGTATCGGATCGTCCTGGACGAGAACATTAATGCGGATGTAGTTGAACATTGTGTTGTGGACTCCCATCCATACGAAATGATCACCAAAACATGTTGGGAGATGGATGGAGCCGAGGAGCTGAGGTACCCAGATCGCATGGACGGACACAAAACCAAGGTCAATGCAGTGACGCGTGGACAGCCAGGTCAGGACACCTCTGGATTTGATGAAAACATGTGGCTTGACCTTGATGACTTCTTTCGAATGTTCAATCAAATGCTGAATGACGGTTGAAGAGCTCATTTCCCTTCTCTACTGGGACAGCAAGTGCCGTTTTGAGTTCCAGTGCATTGCCGGATACCAGAAGGCAACCCGTAAAGGGTTAGCCTACTGGCCCATCAGGATCCGTGCAGTGCAGGGGCACACGAAACGTGCCATGGAGGCTGCCTCGGCCGAGGACACATTCAATGCGGTGGAAATCTATGCGCTGTCCGGAGCAGCAGCCATCCAGAAGATGAACGCCAAAGGTAAAAAGATTACCACACCGCAGATGTGCCCTGGCGTAGTCTATCACAGGACTACAAAAGGCAATTGGAAGGGGATCATTGAGAATGGTTTCGTGGCTGGAGGAGGAGAACGAAATTCATCAGGCAGAGCACACTCCTATTTCAGCGAAGTGCGTGTCGACGAGAAAGAGTATGTCAGCGGCCTGCGTGCTGAACGACCCATTGAAATCAGGGTCGCAATGGCTGAAGCTGTCAAAGCTGGAATTGTGTTTTTCAGGACAGCCTCTGACGGCATTCTTACAAGTGATGTCGTGCCGCCTCAATACATTATTTCTGTCGATGACACTGCCAAGAAGGTGAATTTGTATCGTCGCCAGCAGGAGGTCGCACAGTCTGCAGCGAGCAGTGGGGGAGAAGTTGGAGTCCAACAGCTTGTCGAGACCTTTGAGGCCAAGGCATCAAAACAGGCTGGTCCCAAGTCTCCGGCCGCCTCAACTGGCGCGCCCACTGCAACGGCATTTTTCCCAGGAAAGGTGAAGCCTCCGCCACCAAATGTGGCTCAACTTGCCGGTATGCCTGGATATGCAAGCAGCAGATTGTTGCCCCCTCCTCCGAAAGGCGAAGCTCCAAAGCCTCCTGCAGCAAAGGTTGAAAGCCCAAAGACACCGCCGAAAGCACCTCCAAAACCATCACCGAAGGAAGGGACTTCTGCACCTCATGCACCAGAAGTTCCAAAAGCTGTGACCTCAGAAGTTGATGCATCAGCAAAGGACGAACCTGCAAAGAAGAAGGCAGCCCTGACAAGCGTGCCCGCAGCTGTGCCTGCGGCATCATCAGCTGCGGCCTTCTTGGAGCCTGTATCAAAAGTTGCACCGCCAAAGGCAGTACAGAAAGATCCAAAAGCTCCAGTTGCAGGGTCACCTTCAAAAACGCCGGCATCAACATCAAAGTCACTGGTGCCAAAGCAGAAGTCTCGCCCTAAAGGCGATGACCAACCTTCGAAGAAAGAGGAAAAGAAGGAGGACAAGAAGCCGGTGCCAGTCAAGATTGAAGTCACGCAATGTTCAAGATGTTTTGCACAGACTTTCAAGGGACAGATCGAATGTGACGTGTGTGGATTGATGCTCGAAGGGGTGAACAAGGCCGACCGCACCAAGATTGCAGAACGAAGGAAGGCCGCCCTTCACAAGCTGGGCTTGTACTATGACTTTCGTGGCGAGTACCTGCAGAGCATCACACACAGTCAGCTCGAATCTTTGGGTTTGTTGGACGACCAGGCAAGAGGAAGCTCTAGTCCTGAAGCCAGTTTACTGGCAAGGGCGAAGAGTCGATTCGACCGTGCCTTGAGCTTGGGTTATGTGTCTGTGGCTGACAGGTTTGCCCAGGACGCCACATTCGCAGAGAGCGTGCTGAACGAGGGGGAGAACGAGTACGATTGTGAACGGTACGACCTCCTCAAGTCTGCACATCTGCCAAAGCCAGGTCGTACCAAGGCTCAGGTCAAGATGGGTGTTTCCGAGCAATCTCAGCTGGAGCACAACGCGATGAGGCTGGTTTACTTGGATCTGGCAAGCCGTCTTGACGTCCCGAAGTCGTTCAGGTACATCGACCAGCCATGGTTCTACATGTACCGGACGGAAATCTACTCTGAGGAAGAGTACATCGACTACCTGAACCGGAATCCTCAGCACAATCTTTTGTTGTCTTGTACTGGCGTTGACAACATCGCTGTTCATGATGCTGAACGGCACTTGAGGTGGATTAAGGGCCAAAACGAGGAGCTGTACAAGCAGAACGCTGCGGAGAAGAAGAAGCAGTCTGACAGGGCTCGCGAACAGAACGAGGCCAAGCGCAAAGCTGAGCAGACTGGTGCGTACGGCCAGGGTCCTTCCAAGAAAGGCACCGTTAAACCGGTTGCCCGAACATCCACCGTAGAGGTAGCTTCATCATCAACGTCTGCAAGTCAGTGGATCAACCGCCCTCAGCAAAGTCAGTCCCATGATGACCGCCGTTACACTGGAGAATGGCAGAAGTGGCACGGGCGCTGGTATGAGAAAGTTATCAGGCATGGCCGAGTTGAATGGGAAGAGGGATAAGTTGTGAAACTGCTTGCATTGACGATCGATTTTTGTATCATAGCCGCTGTTTGGGTTTCCTCGGGTCGTGCAAAAGAGCCAGGAGCGGTAAGGCAGGTCTTAAAGACCTCGCCCTGGTAAATGGGCAGCCTTGCCGTGACCGGCTCACCTGAGGGGGTGTAATTGCACTCCACCATAAACCCTATGTAAACTAGCACATGTACGACAGCTGATGCGGCTCGAGTAAAAGGAGTTTGGGCCGCAGGTGCTTAACGGTTATTTCCCATTGTTCTAGGTTTATCAGTCTATTTGGGTATAACATAGTTTACCCCGCTGAAACCTGAAAATACAGGGTAGAGAGAGAGAGAGAGAGATTGAGAGACACGTGTCATTTTGTTTTAACCGGTAGACCCTAAATAAGACTATCGAAATCATTCCTTATCGCTACTCGCATCTCTTGTGTCACAATTTGCTTACAATACACCCCATTTGGAAACTCAATGCGTTCACCTGCTTTGTTGCGTTTAGTTTGGGGGAGAGATTTCTGGAAGTCGGTGTGTGCTGCGTCCAGCTGGTGTTTTGGAAGACATGGTTTGGAACATTGATATGTTTACCTGCGTTCTTGTATGTTCGGAATTTTCCTCATGTGTCAGTTCCATTGGGAATTGGATTGTGTTGGGTTTTCCCCTTTTGAAACTTGGAGATGTGGTTGTGTTGACATGATGAGGGGGATTGGTGGCGAGGGGGTCCTTTTTTCCATTTTAGGGTATTGCCGGGGTATCGCCAGAGTATCGCCGGAAATACGTGAGTTGTCTTGCCTTGTCTTGTCTTGCCGCTGCTGCTGCTGCTACTGCCGCTACTGCTGCTGGTTCTGCTGGTCCTGCTGCTTACCTTCCCACTACCGAGCTGCGTGCGCTACAAGGGGTTGCACCTGTATCCTCGGTTGGTCGCTTCACTTTGACTGTAGTTGTGGTGAAACTTGCGTCCCATTGCGTTTTTCAACAAAATCATTCAAAAGAACAAAAGAACCTAAAACAATGACTGCATATATGATGCAGCGTCCAGAATACGATTCCTAATTTTAGAGCCATAAGGGGCACCGAACATCAAACGAAATAGATGATTGCTGGCGCACAGCGTCCCATGCTGATTTGCATAATTTTGCACTGACTTCTGTGACTTCCTGAATGCGCAGCGTCCCATTGTGATTTGTTTTCAAACAGACGGCGCACTGACTTTCCCGACTGGGTGTATCTTAATTACAATCAAAGGGAATGCTGAACATACCCATTTTTTCTTGGTGGGCTTGCATGTTGCATTGTGTTTCAGTGAATCACATTTTTGTAAATGGATAAAGTATCCCCCAACTATTCGTAACTGACTTGATGCTGCGGTTCAGGTGCTGTTGTGAGCGGCCCTGGTTTCGCATCGGCCGGTGCGGTTGCCGGGGGAGTTCCTTGGTTCATTGGTGATGGGAACGTACAGGTAACCCAATCATACCATATAATACCCAATATATCCCAATATATCATGAGGAAATAATCCAAAAATATCTTAAAACATGTTAATAAATAGTATATATAAATATATATATAATATATAACAGTATGTTATAGTGAACCATCCCCAATAGTGGGGTGTTTATCATTGGGTATGCCCGGCATGACGCCATAATATATGTCATGATGGGACGACTTCACCATCCTCTTGGCTTGGTAGGGTCATTCGACCGGGTCCATGTTACGTAGTTTTTTTGGGGGTTGCGTTTGCATCATAGTTACCCTCTGGTAAACTAACATAGCTATGGAAAATCACATCTTTTAATGGGAAAACTCACTACAAATGGCTATTTTCAATAGCTATGTTAGTTTACCAGAGGGTATCACTCCCCAAAAGTCAAGAGAAACCGTGGAAACATGGTGGAAACATCAGGATTTTGTTGTTTTTTGCGTGGCCATTCTTGACCATTCGTCTCGGTGGGGAAGTGGACATTGGTATATGGATATGGCAATGGCAGGGCTATAGATACGGCTATGGGAGGGACAGCGTGCTGTACTTTCTGCGTTTTTTGGATTCCCAATTTCTGCAGGTGAAATGGATCTAGATATGGTTCACACTTGGCTTTGTCAATGCTGGATCATTGTTGGTGTTGCCGTATTTTGAAGGAAAAGGTATGGTTGCATTTGTTAATCCAAACTCCTTTGGTTTTGACACTAATGCCCTCACGGTACAGCATGCATGTACAGAATGCAGAATCCTTTACGCACGTCGAAGATTGTATGGCATTGCCCAAGAACAGAAGACTGTTTCTCTGGCATTCTTGGCCTTTGGCAATGTGACTGGGTGTGGGCTGGGTAAGCAGGTTCCGAGCTCAATTCTTGCCCAGACCTGAAGGCAGTCTCATTCGCGCCCAACCCAGAAAGTGTGAGGAATTGCTGCCAAAAAATAATAAAAAATTATCCGAACCTATCACAGCCAAGGTATTTCAATTTCAGGTTGCATAAACAGTCGAAGTCTCAAAGCTGAACATCCGAACATATCCTAACCATATAGTTTATTGAGGTTAATAATGGTTAATAGTGGGTATATGATATATTATATCAAGCTTATGTTACTCAATCAATAGTAATTAAACTATGCCAAAATTACCATAAATGATAAATGGGTGGTATAATCAACACAATATTGCTTTAATTACTGACTGACATTTAAACTAATTGATGAAGTGGGCTTTGTCGGCTTTATCGACCTTTCCAAACATCACTCGCGGGGCACCACATGGCAACCCTAACTGACTGAGGCGAACAGTTGCCAAGCCGATTGCCTCGAATCCGGCATGGGCCGCGTTTGTTTCGAACCTGAGCCTTGGATTTTCAAAAGTGGCTTCGGATGGCTTCGGTTGGTCTGAAATCCTGTGACCCTACTAGTGCCAGGATGTCTTTAATTCTGAAATTCAGGGGAAAACATGGGAAAACCCTCAAAATCCGATAGTCTAGCAGTCTTTATGCAGTCTTTATTTTCGTAAGCCTGTTTTGGGATGGACCGAGAGACCATGTTGTTTTTGATGAGATATGAGATGCACCTACTGGCTTGGCAATCGTGTTCCTCATATGCTGGATGCTTGGATAATAATCAACTTTAAAGTGCAAATGGGTTGTGATGTTCATGGGTTTGTCCTAAGAATGGAGTTAAACACCAAACCCAGTGGCTCATCATCAGATGATCCCAATTAAAGGGAGGGCTAATTATTTTAGGATTTTTTTTTGGATCAGGTTTAGGAATTATTTTTGGATTCCTGCTTCTCTGCTTTTCCTGCTTTTCCTGCTTCTCTGCTTTCCTGCTTTTCCTGCTTTTCCTGCTTCTCTGCTTTTCTGCTTTTCCTGCTTCTTTTCCTTTCTGCTGTTTTGCTTTTGTGCGTTTCCTGTTTCTTTGCTTCTCTGCTTTTTTGCTTCTCGGCTTTTTTTTTTGCTTTGCCTGCTTTAAATACTTGATCTTCATGTAAGATGCATTTTGCACAGCATTCACATCCCTGAGTATCACATGACCAACCTTCTCTTGAAAACTAGCAACGTAACATGTGAGAAGAGGTGCTTGCATTCTGCTTTGGGGGGAGGCGCTGCGCCCTCCCCAATCCCCCCCTCCCGCTTTTTTTTATTTAAACTTTAACCCAAGTTACATTAGTTGGTTTTTGCGAACTAACCTTCTCTGGAAAGCTGACAGGATTACATGTGATAGATAGATAGATAGATAGATAGATAGATAGATAGCTGATAGATAGCTTGGTAGATAGATAGCTAGATAGATAGATAGCCAGCTAGATAGATAGATAGCTAGAGAGATAGATAGCTAGATACCTCGATAGATAGATGGCTAGATAGATAGCTAGATAGATAGATGGCTAGATAGATAGCTAGCTAGATAGATAAAGAGGTAGCTAGATAGATAAAGAGGTAGCTAGATAGATAGATAGATAGATAGATAGATAGCTAAATAGATAGGTAGATAGTTAGCTAGATAGATAGATAGCTAGATAGATAGCTCGATAGCTAGATAGCTGGATAGACAGCTGGATGGCTAGATAGATAGATAGCTAGATAGATAGAAAGCTAGATAGCTAGATAGCTAGATAGATAGTTAGCTAGATAGCTCGATAGCTAGATAGCTGGATAGACAGCTGGATGGCTAGATAGATAGATAGCTAGATAGAAAGCTAGATAGCTAGATAGCTAGATAGATAGTTAGCTTGATAGCTAGATAGGTAGATAGATAGCTAGCAAGATAGCTAGCTAGATAGGTAGATAGATAGCTAGATAGATAGATAGCTTGCTAGATAGATAGCTAGCTTGCTAGATAGATAGCTAGCTAGATAGCTAGATAGCTAGCTAGCTGGATAGATAGCTAGCGCCCTCCCTCAATCCCCCCACCCGCTTTTTATCTAATCCCAAGCTTCCGCATCTGTAAATATTTGGGTGAACATGCTCACATGTAGAACATCCCATGCAAAATGGAAGGTGAACATGCCAAAATGTGGCAAATACCATACAAAATGGAAGGTGAACATGCCCACATGTAGTAAATCCCATGCAAAATGGAAGGTGAACATGCCCAAATGTGGCAAATACCATGCAAAATGACAAATTCAAGTTCCAAACCGTTGCAAACACTAGGCAAATGGTACCAGCCAAGAAATCCAAAAAAAAATCCCAAACCTGCTCAAAAAAAAATCCTAAAACTATTTCACACCCCAATTAAAGCTCCATTTTCTGCGGGCAAACTTATTTTCAGACATTCACCCGTATCACATTCTTGGTATTTCTTGGTTAAAGTTATACCTATTTTTTCCTCTCCATAGCTATCCCGATTATATACACCCCCATTACATCCCCATCGTGGCCGGTTTGATCCCCCATAAAGGCCGCGCTGGTGAGGATCCCTTCACCATGACGACGGAGGGGCAGTGGAAATATGTTGGGACCGGCAACGGAGCCTACGAAAATGCGCCTCAGCAGTTGCTGGAAACGCTGCGGACTGATCCATGGAACTGGGAAGATCTGAAACTATCAAAAACTATCCAAAATGAAAATATCCTGACATGTTTTTTGGGGGAATACTTCAAATATTTTCAATTGAATCGGAGCATATCGGAACTAAAGATTGGAAAATCTGATTGCTCTGGGGTCACATCGACCAAGCCATAACGGCACCCAAGGTACAGTCGGTTGCCTACGTCGGGGAGGGTGTTGGAAGCTGGGATCGAGCAGAGGTCACCGCCTACAAGGGATATCGGTGCAAGGCGGCCCGGTAGAGAGAACCGTCACCGGTGCCATGGGGGATTTCACAAACCATCAAACATGATGACTTAATTGAGCAACAAAAATGGTGGTAATTATCATGGGGACATCATGGGGATTATTACCCTTCGGTATTTCTAATATTTTTAATTGCCAGGTTTAATTAGCAGAGATTTAACTGATTTAACCAACAAAATTTGGGATCAGTGCTGTTGATGGGATATTTTTTAGGGAAAATCATTGATGAATGGCAAAAAAAAATGGCAGGCTGGGAAATCCCCGAAGTCACTGGAGGTTTAGTTCGCTGGGCAAGCCATCGAACTAAATGATATATCAATGGGAATTCAGGATCCTAAAATGGAGGTACCTACCATATATAAGGCCTATATAAGGGCTAAATTTCAGGGGATATCCCCCCAAAATGATGGATTTTGGAGCAAGCCATGTTTGAGGAAACCCCTGTGCGGATAGAACAGGCTTGGGATCTTTTTGGTACATCGTGAGGTTAGGGAACTAACCAGCAAAATGATATGGTAAAACTGCATGCATGTTTTTCATAGGGAAAATATGGGAAAATGAGTCCTCAAACCTTGGGATTCTACCAGTAGCCTCTTTTTAGACCAAACGTTTGATGGCGTCACCTGGTAGAATTGCAAGACACAAGCATTTGATGTGATGCTTGAACTTTACCCTCTGGTAAACTAACATAGCTATGGAAGATCACCATTTTCAATGGGAAAATCCACTATAAATGGTCATTTTCAATAGCTATGTTAAATTACCAGAGGGTAATGTTTTAGTTTATCCAACTCGGATGTTATGTTAACTGGCAAAAAGTGTCACCACACCGTGCACAACTGAGACCATGTGCGTTTGCTTGGCGATCCTGGTGCTGGCCATTGTTGCTTGTGGCTCTGATCAATGAGTGACTAATGGGTTACTTTCTTCAATGGGAATATTTACACTATTTACCCACTAAAAAGGGGAATATGTTTGCAGGTTATCCATGCTTGTCCAAGATTGGCATGCCCTGCCCGCATTTCTACAGGTTTCAGAAATTGTTTCCATCTTTGTAGAGACGACGGTCAGACGATGTTGTGTTTGTAAAAGCGTTGTTTGAACCATTGTCAGTATGTTTATTTGTTCTTTTGCTTAATTTAATGCTTACTGTGCCGAAGCATTGAAGCATTGCCTTCGTCAGCCTTTTCATGTTCCCTTGAACAACATATTTGGGGGGCATCCTGGCAACGTTTTCGGCCAGTTTGGACATAGAACTATGAACTATGATCAAGAAAATCACAAAAAGAACCAACAAATTTTACCGTTTATGAAACCCATGTCCCCCCAAAAAGGGGCACGATCTCATTGACCTTTGAAGGAAATTTGAAGGCACGGTAGACCACTTTGATCTTGGAGCCCAGGTATTGTGTTCATTCCGTGGGTGTGGCCGAAGGGTGCTGCTGCTGCTGACGACATCATTCCCTGGGAACAGGATTGCTCTAAGGGCACCTAGGTTGCAGGGATCAAACCAACCAAAATGAATGGGCATAGATTGGCATAGATCATCAGTGTGATAATTAATGGGCTCAATGGGTATACTTTTATATAGAATAACAGAAGGAATGGGATGCGGCCGCAATGATAGTTGGGTTCGTCTCAAAACGGGGAATTGCACCACATTTCTGGCCTTTGATTGGGAAGTGAGGTGTTAAACCTTTAGGAAGTGGGGTGCGTTTTCAGGCACCCTGCGACATCCCCATGTTCCTTCAGTCGGTCCTTCAGTCGCTGAGGCGTCCATGACTGGAAGCACCTGTGGGATTCAGCCAAGCAGAACTATTGCTGCCAGCACCTTGCACCAGACATGGTCAAGTGGTTTCGAACTGCGGATGGACTATGTACACGGCATCTATATAGTATACGCATAGAAGCATATAAAAGCAAGTGCATGGTATAATTGCAAGTGCATATTCACAACATATAATCACATAGATGTGCAATGATGCGCATACATGTGCAGACACGCTGATGTGCACACGCAGCTAGTTCAGATTTTGCAGTGGAGCTGATTTTGTTCCTGGTCAGGCCATGGATCTAAAGGAGCTATGCTACTGTTTGTTGATGGCAGATGTGGATGCTTCCCAAAAGTTAGGGCCCCCAAACCACCGATGTTCAAATTAAGCATGACAGAACATGACCAATGTTGCATGATATTTGGATCTCAGAGGGCCAGTGTTAGGTACCAGAGCATTGGTTGTCCCGGCGCTGTGGCGACTCCCGTGAAGATTGTCCGCCACACGCACTACGTGACACGGGTGCACCGGGTGCCCCATCCGGTGACACACTACGTTCAGGTGCCGGTGAAACACGTGACTTGGACGGGGGAAGCCCCAGCAGGAAGGGCTGCCCCAGATTTGGAAGTTGGTTAATTACAATAGCTAGGGTCTATGATGTCTATGAGGGACATGGCATGGATCAAACTGCTTATCCGTTTGTCCGCAGCGAGGGCGCAGTCAAAACTGCCAAAGACATGTATTTTTGGCTTTGACCAACAACATACATGGTTCATTAAGTATTGCAGGATACTTCTGTGGGACTTTAGGCAAGCCAGCCCGTCGTTTCAATCAGCTGCATACAGTTTGCCTGACCTCCTAGGTGGTGTACCATCATGTTTACACACGAGAGCAGCCATACGACTGCGAGGTCGGTTCTGAGGACAGGGAAGCTGACCATATGGCATAACCAGGCAGAAGTGCAATGGACCATAAAATTCCCCTCACGTAGGGATACGTAGGGTACAGTTTCAACATGTTGGCTGCAAAGTAGACGTTTGACATGCTCAAATACCTTCATAGGGCCGGTTTTGTTGAAATTGTCCAAAACAACCAACCCTAAAATACCACCCAAAAAAAAACTAAACCCTAAAGACATTAATTGCATGGAAAGACTGTAAAAATCCTAAAAATGGAAGCATAAAGTATATTGTCAAAATCGCTGTATATGCCCAGGGTGTTCCCTCCTCTGGTTACGAATGCATGTCCCGTAAACATTGTGGTGTGAGATTTGTGTATGAATGGGCGAACGTGTGCTTTGGCGCGAACATGCTTCATCACTTTCAAGTTGTACCGTACAGATGCCTCCTTTGGGCTTCTTGCAATGAAAAAGAGGCAGAATCGCTCAGTCATTCTACCCTGTCCCGGAGAAATCTATGTCGTTTTCTTGCAGGCATTTCAAGGCAAGTGCAAGGAAGTGGATCATTGATGATCATTGTATATCATATCCCTTGCGAATCTTCACTATATGTATATATATATATGTGTATATATATATATATCGAACTTGTCTTCTTCGGAGTTCCGATACTTGGCCTTTTTCGCTTCACATTTTGCTTCCTAGTGACGGGCACACTGAACTGCCCCCCACCCAACCCCAACGCCCGACCCCAAGTGATTTCAAACGCTGGGAGTACTGCCATAAATATAAACTCTTAGCTCGATTATGCCCATGCCATGAGTCGAAAATATGCAGGATTATGCCCACAAGTGGACCACCAAGCACCAGCGCTACTGCTGCTTCCTTGAGCAGAAGGCTTGTATGAAGAAGGCGTGCTGAATCAGATAGCCATTCGGATGGTGCCCAAAAATACATGTGTTCCAACAGATCCAACAGTACTTGGTGGCTCATCCCACTTAGTAAGTGGGTTATATTCTGGTTATCACCGGGATGAGTAGGGTTAATCCACTTACAACTGGGATATAACCCACTTGCTAAGTGGGATGAGCCACCAAGCAACATTCTATGAAGCAGAGCTGCACTTCTTGACTGAGTGGTAGCAAACTCCAAGTATGGCAATGTCAAGTCTTCGCACCAAGCAGGTCGTGGAGCACGTACGTAACATCACCGTGGTCAAGAGCAAGCTTGTCCCAAAGTACATCCCTATGAAGGCGTGTGGATGGAAAAGCCACTGGATATTGCTGGATGATTTCCGTATTACCGAATGCAGTGCCCATAGGATCCCATTGGTGACTAATGATATAATTGGTGTGTGTCCCATTACTTGGCAGCTATCAGATTTTCGCCTATGAAGTTTACATACATTTCCTATACATCTTATATTCCAACAATCCCTCTTAATGATATCTCTACTATATATATATATGTATATATGTATATACACATACACATATATGTATGCACATATAATATATACACATATATATATATATACATATATATATATAGATATAGATATACTTCCCATTAATTAACAAAGGTTATATCACATGGTGGCACCCCAGCTCCAGCCCTTTTTGCCGCGAGGAGACGGAAGAGAAGACAGTGGTGGTTCCCAGGTACGTCCCAAAGGTGGTTGAGCCGCAGCCAATCCATGTGGCCGTGCACCAGCCTCCCAAGATGCTGGGCATTGGCCACGGAGGGACGAAATATTATTGTGGGGGGTATTCCTCCAATAGTAATTATGTGATACTTAAATGGTACCCTCCCAATTAAACAGCCTAGGGGTTTATTAATCCAGGGTTGAATAATAGTGATAAATGATATTGTGAAAGTTATGTTAAGAATATATTTGAAGAAAATGGATGATATAGATTCATATCTAGAATGCCCAGTGATAATTTCAGAATTAGATGTGAAGAAAGAGGGATCGGCCAAAGAGCTGCGGGAAGTTTTCGATGCCTTCGTCACTGCTGGGATGCAGGTCCACTGGGAAGGTACACTGTGTAATTCACTGTGGGCATCACCCCTGTCACAGAGTCTGCTGACCAGGATTATTTTAATATAATATATATATATATATATACATGTACGTATGTAATGTAATGTAATGTAACGTAAGGTAACGTAACGTAACGTAACGTAATGTAATGTAATATAATGTAATGTAAGTATGTGTGTATGTATGTATATATATATATATATTACCTATCTATCTACGTGTGTATATACACGTATGCACAATGATTTATAAAGTGGAGTCATGCTCCTAAGCCTCCAAACCCCGTTAGGCGTTAGGATCTTCTGGCTTTCATAAGAGTCTCAATCAAGAGCATGTCCATGCTGGGTTCTTGGCTCTCTAAGGATCGTGTATAGGACGATCAACAAGACGAAGCAACTGGGCCTGAACTCCAGGGCCCAGCAACTACCAAGGATTACCAAGGAGTTCATGTTTTGGTTCAATCTCGTGTTGCTTATTGTGCCGGAAAGTGCAAAGTGACGACATGACATCAACTGATATCAGATCATATCAAATCATATCAGATCATGGGTTGGTTCAGGGTCCCTTTCCCTTCCACATATTTCCACATCTTTCAGCTGCGAGGTATATCAAAGTCCCCGTTCCCGGCAAACCGAAGATCGTGGTGCAAGAGGAACCCTACGATGTTCAGATGCCACCCGAGGCAGTTCCCGGAACCACGTGCCATGTGAGAGGCTGCGTAGAACAATGAAACATAATAAAACACATACATATATTGACATGTTAATGATAATGATGATAATAATAATATTCATATATATTTGTATATAATAAATTATGTTTTAAAATCACATAGTAATTAAAGAACATAATATATGATATATATATGTATATATTTATATATATCATATATTATGTATAATATAATTTATCTATATATATACACATATATGTATACAATATATATAGATATATATATATATGTATACATATTGTTTAATATACATATATATATATACATATATTGTAAATAATATAAATACAATGTATATAATATATAATATGTATATTTATGTGTATATATATAAATATATATATACATACCACCCACTGCACAAAAAGAACCCGCCAACAAGTGGTTATCATGTGTTTGTTTGCTGTCTAAATTACTCAATGTGTGTTTCTAGTTTGGTGCCGCAGTGGCAGGTGGTGAAGATCTATGATCACATCAAGCCTCTTGAATGTTAAATTTGTTGTTTTTACAGGGCAGAATCCATTGTCAAATCTGTAACAGAAGAGGATCTGCCATGGCGCAAGGATCCCATGATATCCCATGCCATGTCATCCAAGGACTGAACCTGTGGAGCATGAGCATCACTTCAATTGTACCTTGGATGTCTTGGATGTTCGTTGGATCCCTGGTAGGTCTGAGACCCAAAAAAAATGGATCTGGTATGCCAGCTGGAAATGACTGTGTATCGCAGCCAAAAGGCCACAGGACGTCTTCAGAAAACATCATCAGCTATAATATATATATAATATATATAATATATATAATATACATATTTATATATATACATAAAATATAGATATACATGTCTATTTATTTATTTATTTATGTTTTTTTTGCGTTTTTTTTTATATACATACTTATATATGTATATAGATATACATATATTAAAATTATATATATATACATATTTATATACATATATCTATATATACATATGTGTGTATGTATATATATATACATGTATATATATACGTATGTGTGTATATATGTATTGTTTAGTATATTCATATTTTAGGGCAAAAAAAAACAGTGCTTTAGCCTATCCCTATCCCAACTAACTCCAAAACCAGACTCGTTGAGCTTTCATTTCGATCTCCAGCTGGGTAGCTCGCCGCCAAGGTGACGTGGGTTTTTCCAATTGGTACCGTGGATGGTCCCCGAGGAAGAAGGAATGGTGCTGCGCCAACGAGGACTAGGGGTAAAAAAATGGGAGGATCATCCCACTGATCGAAACTGGTTAGTAAGTGACGTTACAAAAGGATTATAAATGGGATAAGCCACTTAGGGGATATATTGATCAGGGTTTTTGACCACTTACTAAGTGGGATGATCTTCCAAGTAGTAGTGTATAAATTATGGTGGTTGATCTCATGATGATGCCGCTGATGATACATTTTAGAAGGTGGCCAAAGATCGTAAACGTATGTACATAACCAATCTCATGGTATGAAACATACAGTATCTCATAGAATTCCCAACAAGATCCGAGCAGGGAACATGGGGTCAATAGGAAATGGTGGTTATCATTCCGCATGGTGTCAGAACATGGACAAAGATGGTACCCTGAGGACCGGGGATGCCCTGGCACCTGGCATGGACATGGACATGCTCACTGGTGCCTCGCAAAATCCACTCCGAAGTACCCGGAAATCCACTGAGGAATCCTCACATTCCATCATTTCCCCTGTTCGGCAAGAAGGAAGGAAGGTTCTTGACTGAATTGATCCCATCCAGCCACTGCTAAGGCATATGGAGGCTCACGTGGCTAGCATGGGCAAGGCGACAGGGCATATCTATGACTCTACTGATTTGCTTGGAATCAGTGGATTGGTTGAAGGGAAAATCTACGGTTGAAACATCAGGAAACCAATGGGTTTTCTGTTTCCCCATCAAACATTAGGGGCTTCCGGTTTCAATTTTCCCTTAGACCAATCCAGTGACTGGAATCAGAGGCATTATCCAAATGTACCCTTGGCGAAGATTGGAACCTCAGGCCACACACAGCTTGGTCAAGGATGCTCAGTTTGATGTTATATTGGAAAAGACGATGACCCTTCTAGAAGCCCCTTTTGTTGCTCCGAGGGTGCATAGATGATGCCTCTGATATTGCACTTGTTTACTATTTTGTTTGTTTTTTCTCAGCCCAAAAATGTTATACTTTCAGGATAAACTGCTGCTCCTCGGAATTTTGACTGAAAGCAGCCCCATTGTACCTGTTACATATTCCAAAACTGAAGGCCTGCAAAGATATCTCTCGAGAATGGGACTTGTGTCACATATGCTGTTGTTGATGGGGTACCATCCCCAAAAAAATCACACAGACCCTGCGATGACTTGAGGATCAGAAGGTTAGAAATTTTCCCGGAGGGTATCAGTGATTATCAGTGGGTTGGTTGGGAAATTTTGGGAACATGTTGACCGGAAATCATTGGTTTTCCTTCAAAAAAAAGGTGATTTCTGGCCGAGTCGCCGAGTCCCAGGATTGTAACGCGGGCTTTTCGAACTGGCTGCATGGCTGGTCAGAGTCCAAACAAGCCTGGTGCTGTAAGAAGGACGGATTCACCTGACGGTCGCATTTTTCTTAGAAATCACTGAAAAAACAGAACTCTATATTTAGTTAAATTAGGCGATGGAGGGAGGGAGAGAGAGAGAGAGTTAGTTAGTTAAAGTTGGCATTTATTTTCTCGCTGCTGTCTCCTAGTCTTGACAAATGGAGACGGAGGGGGAGAGAGAGAGAGAGGGAGAGGGGGGAGACAGCTGAAGTAGGAAACAACAAGAATGAGAGGTTGATACCTTTTTGCATGCCTTTGGTCAATATTTTTGGTAAAGAGCCTCTATTTTTCCATATGATTCCGGATACCCTCTGGTAAACTAACATAACTATGGAAAATCACAATTTTTAATGGGAAAACTCACTATAAATGGCCATCTTCAATAGCTTTTTGTATGTTTACCAGAGGGTAGTAACCAGGGGGCCAGCCTGCCACCCTGCCAGGAGCACCGCGGATGTGCCCCGCACACCTGCAGTGGGACATCCCTGTCATCCTGGAGTGATGCGAAGCGTGACTGGTGCTGCAGCAATTTCCAGCATCTTGGCGAATCAACGGCAGCCTGGTGGGCCTGGTGATTGTGCAGGACTTCTGGGTTCCAACATGTTCAAATAAACCCTGGTCATTAAAGGTCGCGAAAAAAAAAACATCGAAGAAATCCAGTCAAGCATGGTGCAAACTGCCCATGACCATTGAAAACCAGCCGGTTCTGTTCAACATTCACTGGATGCTTACGGATTAGCACTGGATGCACCACGAAATCGTGGGGATGCACCAAGGAAGGGCTGCGCAGCCACCACTTTGTCACCCAAGAAATGTCCGTGAGCTCAGTTAGCTCAGTCACAGAGGACCATGTCGCTAGAAGCTTTAGACATGTAAGGAGCACGGTACTTGTCTCAAAGATAGGCTTTTACGGGATGAGTGCCAGTGGTACAATATTAGTATGCTTACAGTAAAAAGTGTACAGACACCAATGATGATTATAGCATGGTGCATGGTAATCATATGAATTGCTATTCGCAGAAGTGCATTGTTCTACCACAAAGGGTTCGGCAGGGGACAATGGTCCGTAACATCAGTCTCATGTACAGGACGTGTTGCGCAGATTGGCCTCGTGGTTGTCGTCGTCGTCGTCTTCGTCGTCGTCGTCATCATCATCATCATCATCACCGTCATCATCCTCATCATCATCATCATCATCATCCTCATCATCATCATCATCAACATCATCATCATCATCATCCTCATCCTCATCATCATCATCATCAGCAGCAGCATCATCATCAGCATCATCAGCATCATCATCATCATCATCATCATCATCATCATCATCATCATCATCATCATCATCATCATGCAATAACATGCAATAACATGCAATAACATGCAATAACATGCAATAGCATGGAATAGCATGGAATAACATGGAATAACATGGAATACTACTGCATTTAAGAAATTTTAAGAATCACTATGAATAACTATGATAACGCCCATGTTCGGACAAGCCCGTGATGGGTGTTCCCTGCGGGTGAGCGGTCCAGGTCTTGCAGTTTGCACGCACTCGGGGGAATCTGCGACCTGCATGGACCGCATCCATTGGGCCAAGCGCCACGTGTTTGCTGGCCGTCACCGGGCTTAACGGAGGGTGTGGGCCGAAGGGAGGGTGGTTGGATCTATTGGATCTATTGATAGAAAAGGCACTCTAGAACTCTATGATTTGATCTTTTGTTTGGATAGAGTTCAGCAATGTTGTTGCTTGAGTTTGCTTCAGTTTCTTCAAGTGCAGAATTTTGGTCGGACTGACAGAAGTTCAACTGCACACAAAGATGCTTAGTTGATCAAGTTCTCAAAGGAGCTTCATACATTAACCTGATTTGAACAATAATTAATTTACAATTGCACGTACATTCTCATATGATATGTGTTGATCAATGGGCTGCCAAATCTGCCACTGAGGTGACAATGCCTGTGCTCTCGGATACAGTCAGGTCAGGTTTTGCAATCAAGTGTGATCTAGCGCGCCTGGCAGTAACATTTGGAATAAAAATGCTGATTTTTTTGGAACTCCAAGTTAGCACATAGAATTTTGAGGTTCATGAACCTCATGAACCTCACGGAGAACATAAGTTGCCAATGTGGGGATGAAACCCTGTCAGGTGCAAGTTGAGTGCAGTGTTTGCCGTGCCTGCAGTATTGAGGTGGGCCGGTGACAAGCCACTGGAGCAACATTTGGGGTTTATAGCACCCATAGTACCCTCTGGTAAATAAACATAGACCCTGAAAATCACCATTTTTAATGGAAACTAGTCTTCCAACCCCTATCTGCCAGGGTCTATGCTAATTTACCAGAGGGTAATTCATGGTAAAATGGGGGTTGGTTTATCATTGCTTTACCAACTATTAGTCTCATTGAGACTTGAAACGTGCTGATATGAAAGACCTATGGCTGGGTGCGCAGAGAGGGTGAAACGAGCATTTTGGTGGAGATTCCGGGCGAATCCAGCAGCAAAGAAACCCCCCTTGGAGGTATCAGTTCTTTTCAAGCCATGTTTTTTCTCCAATTTCCCCTAGCTGGGATAATTTGAGACTAATTATCTTGATGTTTGATCCCAAATGACAAGTGACTAGGCACCATATGTATCAATCTGTTTTTATAATATATATATATATATATATGTATGTATGTATGTATGTATGTATGTATGTATGTATGTGATTATGTACAAATACATATCTAAAATAAATTTAAAATAATTAGTACACAATACATAGGATAGGATAGGATAGGTTGAAACCACAAGTCATCCACAGGAGGCCGGTTGTTCATTGCATGTGGCGACTTCCGCAGCCTTCGACTGCAACGCGGCACTGAGCAATTTCTTCAGCACCTCGGTGCACGTTGCTGGCACGGTGAATATGTTTGGGATATGGTTGGCTATTAAATGTTGTATTTATATATGGCTATGGATCAATACCTATTAATACCATTTTTAGGGGGATGAACATCCATAAATCCCAGCTATTTTGATGTGAACTACAGGGGTACAAGGTTTTGACACACTGCCATATAATGGGATAGATGATATTTCAGGAATGTTATTTGGGATATGCTTATTATATGCTATTGAGATGGTATAATGAGATAGTAGATATGGTATGATTTGAGATATCAGTGGGCGATTCATGGAATATAATGGGGATTGATATTAATGGAACATATCATCTGGATGCATTGCAATGACCTCAAGGAAATAAGGTATGAAGGAAGGAAGGGTGGACGGATGGATAAATACAAGCGCTCATACACACTCATGATATATACTATTATATACCGTACACTACTGTACTATAGCAGATACATGCAAATAAATCTGATTTCCAAACAGTTGCTTGTTGCGGTCTCGGCTTGGCTTGGAAAGTTTACGGTAGGGTGAGATGACATAGTTGCCTGACTCAGTGACATCAAGAGTGAGACTTAGACATTGCCCGGGCACGGTGTACCCTCTGGTAATCAAACATTGTTGGTATAGTGATTTAAACGGATATTGTGATATACCCTGTGGCAACGTGGCAAATTGTCCAATTTAGTTTGAGTGTTTTCCCAGCTAGCCATGTTACCGGATGGTGATTTGCCAAGCCCATAGTTGACCACAGTCGTGTGATGCTGCCATCTAGACGTCCCCATAGTAACCATAGTAGTTAATGGGTTGTTGACTGCATGGGGTACGAAGCTTAGTACTTTGGAGGCCCTTGTGTCGCGAGAATCGTGAGATAGCCTCTGGTAATCTAACGTAGCTATCAAAAATGGATGAAAATTGTCAATAGATAGATAGATGATTTATCAATCATGGTGATCTTACATAAATTTACACAATCTTACATAGCAGTATTAAGTTACCAGAGGGTGCTGTGGACATTCACTTTCCCCCTTCCGAGGAGCATGGTCCCCTTCAAAGAAACAGTGGTGTTGCACCCAGCAGGGGAAAGGCTGTGAAGGCTCCAGTCCTCCACATGTGGATCCCGGCTTCGGCATGATGTGGAAACACGTACAGGTCGCGGTCGGGGCGGCCGCGGGCTGTGCTTTGATGACACCTTTATTACACCTAGCAGTCGTCAAATGTTGTCAAGTTGTCAGGGGGTGCAAAGATGTTGGGTCAAGCGTAATCATTCTATGCAAATCTCATGTAATTCGTCTTGCAGCCATGCAGGTGACTGCAGGTGTCTTTTGCCCCCCTTCTCTCCGAAGGAAGGAATTCCCAATCGTCAGCTGATTTTTACCGCTCCGCTAGATCCAGGTGAATGGCTATTGGACTTGGGTAGCAGTACACGGTGGAAGCACTCACGTCCCATTGCCGTATGAAGCTTGGTATGGTGCGAATGGGTATTTGATGAGTGGGCGACAGCACCAAGTTTCAGCTCCAAAGGTCTGCGAATGGCATGTCAAACCGCGTGACGCAGCAGTGTTAGTAATTAATCGCTTCCCTCCAATATCAAACCATTTCAGAAACTCTGATCTTGTATTGGATCTCTCTCAATCTGGTAAAAAAAATGGATAAACATGAGGATTCGCTATAGCTATGTTCAATTTCCAGAGGGTCATAATCTTGATTCGCCGCCAGCTGCGCTTGGCCAAGCAAAGCCTCCGAGGACTGTCATGCAGGCTTGGCCAATTTCCAGATTGGCTGGTCCAGTGGCAAGAAGGAGTCTTTGCTGAGATGGGATCTATCAATGGATTGGTTTTGTTGGGAACATCTTCACCGGAAACCATGGGCTTTTCCAAACAAATATGAGGGAGTCCTGCACGATGTCCTTTTGAACCATTTTGAACCAATCCAATGAATCTCAACTTGTTGAGGTGGCCTGTCTCAACTGGATGTTTCACTGAGGCTTGGTGCTGTTCCAATCGGCATTTGGGCTGCGGTGGCGCCGGCGGAGCCGCTGGCGGGGCCGCTGCCGCTGGTGGGGCAGCTTCGGGCAGCTTCCACATTGTGCACCATTCCAGCGGAGGATTTGCTCATGGCGGTGGAGGATTTGTTCACCATGGAGGTGTTGTTCACCATGGAGGTGGTGAGTTTCACATGGAGCACCACCATGTTGTGCACCATGGTTGAGCAGCGCTGCAAGCGTCCAAGATGTTGGGGGCCTCAGTTGGGTCCAAGTGATCATGGCTTAGAGGCAAGTGAGTTGGAGTTGGCCAACGGCCTCGTGGACGGCCTCGTGGACCATTGATATCAACTTGATCCGTAATCCTGGAATATTCTGAGCCCATTTGACCCTGAAGGGTGCACTGAAAGTTTCATCTCAAGTGTTAAATCCGCCCTGGATTTCTCGGGGCTGGTTGTTGATGGTTTGGTGGACATGTCCAAAATCATTTGTGATCATAATCCCATGTATTTTGTATCCGATATCCTTACCATTCGCCATAATGTTGGTGAACAAATCCCCCAGATCACAATTTTTATAGGTGGTATAAACCATTCCCAAATGGGTGGTTTATTATTGTTTTTTTCCTACATTAGCTGTTATTTTCCATGCTTTTTCCAGGCCAAAACTGGCAGCGACTTGGCCGATTCCTGGTCACTTGGCAGAATTGTGATCAGCCCAAAGCCTGGAATCTATTGATGGAGTGCGGTTAATGATGTGTGTTAATTTCTTGACATATATACATGTATATATAATTATAAATATATAATATACGTACATATATCATACATTACATTTTTTAACAATAGATATACCTACATATGATACAATATGATACATACATTCATGTTTAGACTGTTTAGGTTCAAATGCAGGTAGCATATACATACACATCCTTATACAGCAGAAGAACGTATTCCCTCCCCCCAAAATTGAACGCCACCCAGAAACAATGGCTTGTTCGGGGATGAAACAACATTTGGGACCAGAGACGGACTAATGATGATTGACGACAATAATCATACCAGCCAGGTTGATTGAGTTGGTTGTACTTCTATATCCCATGAAATATGAATGTTCCCGCTACATACACCATCATACAGATTCATACACCATGTTTTTTTTGCAAACTACTAGACATCGCAAGCATTTCATGTGAAGAAATCCTCTGCTTAAAGGCATCAATGGCATTTGTTGCAGTGTATGAGGTCTCAGGTCAGGTATCCTCAGGTTTGGTGCAAAGATCTGCGCCGATGTCAAGGTGGGACATGATAATGGGTGTGTTTGGCTTCATGTAGAGCTGAGAATTTCTCGCCTCCAATTTAGGATGGGTGGTCTTCCCATGAAATATCATGAAATCTTCGATTTATAGATGAATGATTCTCTCAGAAATTCTCGGAAAAGTTTTGCTCGGTCCATGTGGATATATGTGGATTTTCTACTGGGCCACACGCAGGACAATGCATGAACTTCAGCTGAATTTGTCGCGACAAATTCGCTCAAACAGCGCTGCATGCGGCGGTAGCATGGACAAAGACTTTTCCCCTTGCTGCCCCACTTTCGCATGGACTGCCGTTTCAACTCAGTGTGGCGTGGCGTGAAAAAGACACAGCTGCTTGCTGGCAAACCCCCACGTTCCCTGCGGCAAATTGGTGTCCCATACATTCCGATACCTAGGCAGTTGCTGTTTTGTTAACTTCAAGAGGGGTTCAGCACCTTTGAACCGCTACAGCACGTGGATCAAGCGTGGAAACGCAGTGGCTCTTGACCCCTGCATCATCATGAGATGTGGAAGCCTCAGATCATTCAGATGCTTGAGATACAAATTGATGACTCAATTGTTTGGGGGTTCGGATTTTTGTTGAATCTAGCTGGCGAAGCCTGAGCTGGTGAGATGGTTAATCTAGAGATACTTCCAGGATGCAAGCCTCGTGCAAGAGACCAACGTTGGATTTTGGTAAGGAGCAGCACCCTTGCACCGGCTGCTATCCTCCGGAGTCGCAATGGTGTGGCTCCTCATGCTGAGAGTTTGTTGCTTTTATGACGAAGTGACTGATAGATTTGATAGGAAACTGTCATGATACATGCCCCTTTTTGGATAATTGGTGGGTGCAACAAGTTTAAGTCCAAAAAGTCTACCACAATTGAAGAGAAGTCAAGATCGAGCTGAGCAGCTGGTGTGTGCATGGGATTCTCATGACATTGGGCCGTAAATGCCTCACTAACCTCAAGAGACCAACATGAAAAGGAAGATATTTGCATATACCCTTTGGTAAACTAACATAGCTATTGAAAATGGCCATTTATAGTGGATTTTCCCATTGAAAATGGTGATTTTCCATAGCTATGTTAAATTACCAGAGGGTATATGCAATGCACCTGTACCCGGCACAGGGTTCAGAACGACATATTTGTGCATCATCATTCATCATGCGCGACAGCTGCCCTTGGTATCCCCCAAACGCGCGCATTTCACCAGCTGTCAGGTGGTATTTACTCCCTCTGTTTCACTTCCCGGAGGCATTTGTTAAGCCCGGGTTCCCCAGCTGGAACAGAACACAGCGGCTGCTTCCCCACACATATAGTAACCCCAAAAAAGATCAAAAAAAAAGAAAAGTGAAGCTTCACTATTTAATTGGGATTTACTTTCTTTTTTTTGGTGATAAATGATATGTTAATATAATATATATATATGTATACATGTGTGCGTGTGCGGACATTTTGTTTGCGTGTTCTATGTGTAATGACATGTGAATCATAAGTACCATGTAAGCCATATACTATTTCTCATATTTGGCTGCATATGATGGGACACGTTTTAACATATACAGTATGTTTTGGGGTCATGATCTCACGATATTGTCGCATTACATTTTTTTAACATTATCCTTTGGTAACATAGCATAGTATGCAGAATCACCATTTCTGGATAGGGAAATGATCTATACGTAGTACTTTCCTTTATGTTTTGTTTACATGTTCCGTAGAACAGTCATCTCCTGTGTCACTGATTTATTGTTCATCCCCTTTCCGGCCGAGGCGGCAACTTGTCCGGGGAGGCGAAGCCCTGGAGCCAAAAATGGGGGGATTGAACTAACCATTTCAGGGGGAAAAAATCGCGTAAGTGGGACGATGGGAATGGAATCTTTTTATGGCATTTTCATGGGGATATTTAAGAATACCATCTGGTAAACTAACATAGCTATTGAAAATGGCCATTTATAGTGGATGTTCCCATTAAAAATGGTGATTTTCCATAGCTATGTTAAATTACCGGAGGGTATATTTGATGCTCCAATGGGCTGATTGAACCAATGTGTTGATTATTTGAACCAACTGTGTCCCCATCAGGTATCGCGAGTATGATGGGCTTGAATCATGGTGCCCGCACAATGGGGATATTTCATGGGATACAACTAACCAACAAATTTACCCTCTGGTAAATTAACATAGCTATTGAAAATTGCCATTTATAGTGGATTTTCCCATGAAAAATGGTGATTTTCCATAGTTTTTTGTATGTTTACCGGAGGGTATGTGGCTCCGAAAAAAATGGTATGCCTCCCGAAACGCCATCAACTACTAGGGCTACTAGGGACATGATGATGTGTAAGCCACTGCAGTTTGGGGTTTCCCACGTTTTCCAGACAAACCCTCACGTCGATTTGGCCCATCTAGGTGCCTCAAGGTAATGATGCATGATGCCATACAAACGCCAGGTTTCTTTTGGTTGCAGTTGAGTATGTCAGTAAAATAGAGTTAAATTGCATAAAATTATACATATGTTTCCACATGGTTTTTACAATTGAGTTTGGCACCTCCCAATTTGTAAAGGGACCTGAAATCATCTCACAGATGAGTCCACTTTCTGGGTCCTTGGCTGATCCTGCCAACATATTTGAGCAGGCCTAGACGGTCTACCACAAGACTCAGGTGATTCTTGCATTCATAGCATGCTAATTACACCAAGTTCTGTTCCAGCTCATTGATTTCAAGGAAAAGTTGACAGGAATCCGGTCATTTCGGTTCCATGATTCCAAGACCGGCCGGCTAGGTTTGCCTGTGGGATTTGCAAGATCAACGGCCGGTGACCGCATGGAAGGTTTCGAGTCAATCTGCCGGACGGCCTAGCCGTTGATCCATTTGGGGATGTTTTTGTTGATCCCGTTGATCCATTTGGACCTTCAGATGTTCGAAAATTTCCGTGACCAATCCTGGTGTTTGTCCCCCACAGGTCATTCTAGCTGTGTAAGGGCGAAGTTCATCCGCCCAGGTGCTGTCGGTGCAGACTTTGAAGGGTGGCTGTTTAAGTCAAAGCAAAGATGGAAGGCTGCGGATTCGACATACGTTCCTTTCCCAGAATTGGAGAATTTTTTTGAGGGAGAATCTGAATCAACCTCCAATGTGCTGGGCTAAAAACGATGGTTTCTTGTAGATTATCCCTTAAACAAATCCACGGTTCCTTCTGATGTCAGGGCCAGCTATGAATGCTTAGCAATTGCTACATGTATCTCATTATGATATCCATCAAATATCATAAAATCCTATTGAATCCATGTATAAACATGTATAAACCCCATAAAAATATATAAAAATCATAAAGTCATATACAATCCCCACAAATCATAGGTGTCCAAGGGGGTGTTGCAAAACGTCTCTGAAGACCTGCATTGATTCCGCAGGGTGAAGCTGTGGGACCTTGAGACCCAGCAACTGAGATGGGAGGCGCGCCCGAAAAAAAAAAAAAAAGAATTTGCGATGATTTGTTCTGGGTCCAATTCGGGAAAAACAACAACCATGATTTTTCAGGATTTTTTCGAGCTTAAACATTTAGCAGGTCAGGCAGCCCTGATGATTCTAAGTTGATCTATATAAGTTGTAACTGGGCAGCCCAGTTTTTCCTCTAAAAACCCGCGCAGGTGGCTACCGACAGTTGCTCCTTTTGCAGAGTTCTGGTGGAGCCCCAAGGAGGCGCATCCAGGGCCACTTCCCCACAGTGTGCGGTGTTTTGTGCGCATCCAAGAAGACAGAACCGTAATTGAAATATGTGAAAATAATAGGAAAATGATGAAAGAATGGCAATATCATGCAATATCCAAATTATATCTCACTTTGAGATGGTTTTGTAATCGGTTCATGTCAGTTCATGTTTTGTTTCATGCTTCATTCTGACAAGTCGACACGAACCCCGTTCTCAGATGAACCATGACCGCTCCGACCGGCTTCCAAGTCCCAAAATCATCCAAAATCCACTTTTCGCACCATAGAGCTATGATCACACAGGGGCAAGAATCGACAAGAAGGACAAAACCTGACTGCTACATGCTGCAAGATTTGCCATCCTGGGCTCTGGAAGTCTTTCCAGGAGATGATTCCAGCAGTGGCACACCACTGTACAGGGCCAAGCGGACAGTTTGAATGAGCAGAGATGAATCAGCATATAGCAGCATATAGCAGCAGTGTATGCACCAAAGGTATTCAAGTGTCCAGATCCACTTTTAGCCCGGGAGACCGCCGTGATTTCTTTGCTTTTTCAGATGTGTCATTGCAGAAGAAGGATCATAATCACAATTCTATTTTTTTTCGATTGATGACGGGAAAATGTGTTGTTTTTTGGGGTTATATAAAATATATCATATCATGCTCTGCAGGTTATTGGGGCTCAGAAACCCAAGTTGACACTGGACGCCCCCACAATCTTGTTGGCCCTGAGGCTTATCAGCCCTCTCTCTGAACCCCAGGAGATAGGCATTTTTGATCCTCGTTTGGCCGCCAGGGTCCCAGTGGTCTCAGTCTCATCCGAAAGCAGTGCTGGCACCATAGAATGGCATAGTAACCGTAGAACCCGCTGCTGCAGGTTCCAAGTGGTACCGCTCCACCGTTGGAGCCTTGAGATGCCCTGACTTTGAGGCTTTGGCTCCTGGGTTTTGGACATTTGAAACAGAGGGGGATGTCCCAGGATCATCACGATTCCATTATGATTCCATATGATTCCATGCTTGGAGTTGTTTTTTTGATGGGTCAGATCCAATCACCCAGTTCTCCCAGTTGTCAGCGCCAAGGGCAGAACAGCTGCTGGTGTCACGGCTGGTCCTACCCAGGTATCGGGGCCGAGTCCTATTTTGGTGTAAGAATATGTGCCAGAAGCAGAAAAAATAGATGATCGTGATTTATTTATTTTATTTATTTTGCAGAGTTACATGTGAAATAGTTACACAATGTTATAGTTGTAAGTTGTAATGGCAAGTTGTACTATACAAGGTTATACGCATAACATGCCATTTTTTCTGTACTTGTGTCGGGTCGCTTAAATAGGTTTCGTCCAGATGCACGGATTTCATGTGGGCCCTATGATTTGCATTGATGATTGGAAGAATCGCGAAGATATTCAATTCAAACTGTTTGCTGGTTGGTGAATTTATTGTTGTTTTTTTTTTTGGGGGGGGGCACTTCAAAATTCCGCTAATGGGCAGAATCCACCAAAGAGATCCAAAGAGCAGATGGAAGTAGTTGATCATTTGATCTTTGAAGTCAGATCAGCTACTTACATTCTCCTGGGGCTTGAACCCAGTCCCATCCCATGGGTTTTGTCGTTGGAAGGTCGGAACGAGAAGCCGGGCGTGGCTTCTCAGCCTTCCTGGAAAATCACAGTGTAGGTGGGAAACAACAGCTGATGAATTACTTTCATGACATTCTATATTAGTTATTTAGCATTATACAAATTGCACGGAGAGATAAACTTCTGTTGACGATCTTCAGGTAAGAGCATCTGGGTATATCATGGTATATCTGGATACAGTATCTGGGTGCATCCAGCTATCCAGCTGCAAAGGAATGCAAAGGATAGATCATTTTCCACCAAGCCAAGGATGTGTACAGACCTTTGCCGCTGCCCCCCGCTGGGCAGTGTCCTCAGATGCCAGATCATGAAGCTCTCAACAGACAGATTTTGGCCAGGGTTACCAGAAATGTTACCTTGAGGGGCAACAGGAGTCGCATGAGATATTCATAAACATATATTCATGAGATATCATGATAGATCATGAGATGAACGATTTTAGCTATGTCCAGGTGTTGCCTGATCCTGAAGCATTTCGGCTTTGATTTGTGTATAGGACCGGTTTTCCCTGCGTCATTCTGACGTGCCTCGACCTACGACCTTTTGATGTGGGGCGTTGCAGGGTTGATATAGGGTTATTCCGAGATGTTTTCAGGTGTTGAGAAATTAATCGGGTTTGCTCCATGGATATGATCGTTGATTGGTAATTATTAAGGATATGTATATATTATACATATTTATACATATAATTATACAATCTATCTATCTATATATATATATATCACAAAACTATGTCAACGTATGTGCAGCTGTTGTGAGCATTCCAACTGGCAACAGTTCTTGGGGTTGTCTACTCACAGATCTGCATCCTCCTGAGAGAGCATGGGCAGGACAGAACAGCCTCCCACAAGATGCTTGACATTTTTTTCTACCCATGTGTCCAACTTCAAAAAGTACTTGCATTTTTCAATATATGTTTGAATTACCACGATGTCCAAAATGAATACTAATTATTACACTATACAGATTTAGCTATGAACCTCCATGTTTTATAGGGATTTTGCATTGCCATGTGACATGTTTGATAGTCTCAGAGGGTATCTCAGGTGGTTTCCCCATGCAGCGGGACAAGAAGCGCGTCCGCTGCGACCGATGGGCGCGACTTCGCAGCTCGCCTTTGCTGATGGCTTCAACGGCAGACGCTTGGGTCGCGGTTGTGCAGCTGGGGGATGCTGGTACCGATTGACAACATATACCCTCTGGTTATGTCAACATAGCTATTGAAAATGGCCATTTATAGTGGAATTTCCCATGAAAAATGGTGGATCTTTCCATAGTTTTTTGTATGTTTACCAGAGGGTATATCTGGTTGGTGGTTTGGAACATGGTTTATTTTCCCCATCTATTGGGAATGTCATCATCCCAACTGACGAATATGGTTCATTTCCCCAATAGTTGGGATGATGATCCTGTGAAATTCCAGCCGAATGTCCTTGGTCTCATAGCATCAGCATGTATGCACCGCAGTGCACTGGGCCGAGATATCAGCAAAAAGGGGCGCCTTTTGATTGCAGCCATGGCATGTTTCATTTGATTCAATTGCATTTGCAACACTGGGTATCTTTGCACATACTACAGTGAGTTGGCACCGGAGCCTCGTGTCGACATGCGTGAATACCATCTGCCCAACTATGATCCTCCTGAAAGTGACACCTGGGAAAGGTTCCATCGAGAGTTCGATCTATTTGGAGACGATGATGAAGTTAGCAGTAGTTACTCCGAACCTCCTGTGAACCGTATGCCACCAGTGCCACCTGTGGATGAGACAGTTGATGGCAGCACGCATGGCAGATCCAGGGATTCGTCGAAGTGGCGATGCTATCAGTGTGGCTCGAATCTGTTTACTTGGAACACCTCCTCTCAGAAGTGGACATGCATGGGTTGTCACAGCACGGATTTCTATGACTCCACGCAACCTAGACGACATGAGACTGCTGAGGGATGCTGGGTTTATGTGCCGAGGACGGGTTCAGAGCAGCAACAGCAACAATGGGCGACACCGCAGTCTCCACCTTCTGACGGCGGGATTTCTGGGGCGGAATGGCATGACAGCGAAAGCCATACAACCGATCCTGTGATAGATCCTGACATGATGAGCTCATCATCTCGAAGAAGACGCCGGAGACGTGGTCGCGTCGATAATCAACCGGAAGCCCATGAGATGCGTGCAACTGGACAAGATGATTTGGGTCTTTCGAGTGCGAATCAATCTCGCATTGTGGACCTTTTGTCACAGCTGGTTGCAAATCAGATGAGAACAGACAATAGCCAAGGTTCGTGGACATCTCAGCGTGGGCCCGCACGTGGTGTGCGCTGGCGCGGTGGAACACCTCCAAGTCCACCTCTTTGGAAGAATTCAGCTGACCTTCGTGCTTTCGCGAGATGGGAGCGCAAGGTGGAAGTTTGGGCTTTGCAGATGAAAGCGTTCATGCCAGCAGCTGATGCCGCACTTTCTTTGTTTACCTCCTTGTCAGGGGAGGCTGAACTGGAGACAGAGCATATCGATCTGGAAAAGGTGCATTCCAATGACGGCATCAAGTACCTGGTTGAGACGCTTCGTGAACCTCTGCAACAAAAGGTCCTCTTCCAAAAACGGAAGCTTTTGTCGGACTATGAGAACATTTCCAGGTACCCCAACGAATCAGTTCGGCAATTTGCGAACAGATATGTGCGTGTGGAAAAGGATTTGTCAGCCTTGGGAATCAGCACAACTGGAATGTACGATGATGAAGCTCGGGGAAACCGACTGTTGGAGCGGTCGAGACTTCCTTTGGATCTCCAAAGGCTTGTTTTGATAGGGGCCGGCAACAGTTTGAAGTTTGACTGTGTTCGAGAATCATTGAACTTTCAGTTTCCTGACCATCGTCCAAGTCCTCCAGTTACAGGTTCTGGTCAAGTCACTGGCAAATCCAAGGGAAAAGGGTTCCAAAGCACTTCATCCTCTACTCCTTCAACATTTTCTCAGAGCTCTTCAAGCACCGCATCATCGTCGTCTTCATATCGGTCTGGATCCAAAGGACAGCATCCAAAACGGGTGTATCAGACTGATCAGGTGGACGAAATGGAACAGATTCCTGAGGAAACTGGCGATCAGGTTGAAGATGGCTCTGAGCAAGAGTTTCAAGATGCTGCCGAAGAATGCGTCAATGACGAGAACTATGACCAGGCCGAAGATCCGGCCGATGGTGCTGAGGATCAAGATGATCCATCGGAGCTTCAGGACTTAGCCAATGTCCTGACGGTGACATCAAAGAAGCTGCAATCGACCGTTTTGGGTCGCAAGTTCACTGGAAGACCCAGGTCGATCGAAGAGAGAAAGCGGACCAGTACTTGCTCTGCATGCGGCCAGATGGGCCATTGGGCTGGCGACAGCGTTTGCACGGCCTCCAGCAAGGACAAGCCCAACTCCAAAGGAGCTGGAAAGCATGGCAAGGATGGCGGCAAAGGCAAACCTGTCAAAAAGGCGTTCATGGTGGCCTTCCCTGGGGAGCTATGTGATGAACCACATCTTCAAGATCCATCAGTTAGCAATCCAGTTTTGGGGACAAGTTCATCTTTGGGTTCAAGTTCATCATTGTCTACCCCTTCACCATTGGGAAATCCTTCCACGTTTTTCACTTTTACCACAGCCCATATGGTAGAGCAAGATCCCTTCAACCTCTACATCACGGAAGTTATTGACTTTGCGGGGTACATGATCATAGACACAGCATGCCAAAGATCCTGTTGTAGTTCAAGATGGTTGGATGTTCATGCCAAGATCCTCTCCCAGTATGGCCTCAAGCCTTACATGTTGGATGTCACGGATGATTTTCAGTTCGGCTCAGGTGGCATCCATCGAGCGTCCAAGCGAGCATATCTGCCAGCAGCTTTGCCAGGTCAGCAGTCAAATGGGCTGTTGTTGGGAGTCAGTGTTTTAAAAGATGCTCAGATTCCTTTCTTGGCAAGCAACACCATGTTGGAGAAGCTTGGATGTCTGGTTGATACAGTTAGAAATCGTTTGAAGTTTGAGTTCATTGGCGTTGACATTCCACTTGATCGCATTCATGGACACTATGCAGTCAGCATTGTGAATTTTTGGCATGGTATTTCACGTTTACATGTTTGGCAAGAATTGTCTTCTGGAAAGTTTTGGATGGCACCTGAACCGGAAGTGATCATTGCAGCACCTGTTGCACAAGATCTTCCAATCGAAAGCCCAGCCGATGAACTCCACGAACGTTCCTCCAGAATGGCTGATTCGTTGGAGACGACTGGTGAAGCGGATGATGACCCTCTTCCTCCGCACCTTGCGCAGTATGAGCAGGATGGTGGGCATGGGACTGGCTCCGAGAACATGGCTCACCATGTTGGAGCAGCAACTCATGATGGAGGAGGACCGAATGACCAGGCAGGAGCGAGTACATCCCTTGCCAGCTCTGTGCACCCATCCAGAGTTCCGAAGGTATGGCAACAAGTCGGGCAGGTACAGCCAGTGCCTGCAATGCCGCCAGACTTTCAAGTTCAACACCGACCTTCAAGGATGGGAACAATTTGGAGAGCAGTCGTCACGGCCCTCATCGCAGTTGCCACTGCCATCTCCTTCGAATATCCTGCCAGCCAAGGGCCGGAGCAAGGGCAAATCGACCAAGGGTTCCACGCCCAAGGTCAAAACATCGTCGAGGAGGCCGAGAACTTCCAGCCAGGAGCTCACACCATGGGAAGAAGCTGGAATGCCCCAGGACGAGTGGGAACTTGCGATGAGCCATATGCCAATCGATTCGGAAGACAACGGCCCTTACCAGGACGAGTACCAGGACGATCCGTACGACTGGGAGGGAAGCCTATGAATGATCATTGGGAGATCACACCTGGAGCTTGTATAAGGCATCACGTGGAGCCGCGATGCCAGCTCTTTGACCCATATGATTCAGAATGTCCTGTCCCTCTCCATCGCCTTCAACATGTTTGCGTGGTTGAGATGGAGCTGCATGATGGCAATACTGAGGTGGTGCGATATAACTGGACAACAGGGTCCAGACAGCAGTCCTCAGAGCCTTGGACCGGACGAACCATCTTCAAGTTCAAGGACAAGACTCCATGCTCACTGACCAATGCAACAAAACGAGGTTTGCTGCAACGACTTCGTCACGCGATACATCTTCACAACATCGAGAATGTGATGATGTCCAGTCAGAAGCCTCGCACCAAGATTTCCAAGGTTGACCTCTTGGAGACCTTCGCAGGTTCTGCCAATGTCAGCAAGCTGGCCTCGAGATGGGGTCTCAAGACCTTGATGCCTGTGGACTACAACACCGGCTTTGACTTGGCGGACCGAAAATGTCAGAAGCAGGTTCAAGAAGCCATTGATCTACATCGACCTCTGCTGCTTTTGAATGAAATTGACTGCAGACCTTGGACATTGCTTCAGGACAACACCAATTATGTCAACAGACCAGATGAGCTTGCAGCCTGGCGAGCTGAGGTCAGACCCATGATCGAAAAGATCGTCAAATGGTGCGAGCAACAAGATCGTGACGGTCGTTTCTGGCTGATCGAAAACCCTGAAAGGAGCAGACTGTGGGATGAACCTTCCTTGCGACGATTGCTTGAAAGATCAACATCACACATGGTGACATGTCATGCTGGAGCCTATGGAGCGACTAACTCCAAAGGCCAGATGATCCGAAAAGGTCACAAGTTTGCTGGGAATTGCCCACATGTACTTGATCTACTACAAGAGCGGCTATCTCCTGAAGATCAACGACACTGTGTGCCACTTCAAGGCCATGAGACCACGTTGAGTCAGGAGTACTGCCCCGGATTGGTCGAAGCCATTGTCGACGGCCTCTACAAGACAGCGTTTGAAGTTGACCCTGGACGTTTCCATCAACCACCACAAGAGTTTATAGCTTTTGCTGTTGACAACTTCAACGTTGATGAGGACCTAGACAAATGGCAGAACATCTTCGACTCCACTGAGGCACTGTTCAGAAGGACCTCTCACAAGACAATTGTGCTTTCACACTCTGATCCACTGTGGCGTGAGATTGAGAAGTTGGTTCCCTGGCACAGCATTGAGCGGATTCAACTTGCTCTCCAACCTGCATTGCACCGTTTTCCAACACATGTGCCGCATACCCACAGGGGTTCAGCCTTGCTATACAACGATGGAACGAGACAGATCGTCTCTGAAGACCTTGGTGACCTTAGATTTCCCAAGGGCAGATTCCACAAGCCAGTGAACATCGGCATATTTTGGTTTGGTATGGCCCTGTCACCAGATCAACTGCCAGAACCTTCCCAACCTGCACCAGGACCACCACATCCTGAAGATGACCCTTTGAAGCGGGCAGACATCAGAGATTCCGACATCGCCTTCAAGAATTCCATCAACTACGGTGCCGACCTGAAGACTTTGGTCGCACGGATGCATCGGAATCTTGGACACCCACCATCAACAGAGCTGAAGAAGTTGATGGCCATGAATGGCATTTCGAGCCAGAAGGTGCTGTCAGCTGTAGATGATTTGGTTTGCGCATCATGTTTGCGGACAAGACCACCACCAAAGCCAGCTCCAGCATCTATGCCTCGATCCAACTTCAGACAGTTTGCAGACGAGATCCAGTTGGACATCGTCTATATCAGGGACGTCGCAGGTAACAATTACCCAGTCCTTGGAATCATTGACGAGTGCACCCATCTGCATCAAGCATGTCTTTTGGAGTCCAGGTTTCCTGAAGAGATCACTCGGCAGTTCATTCGAACATGGGCTCAACCTTTTGGTTTTCCTTTGGTCTGCCGGTTGGACGCTGATGGCAGTTTCCGAGGAGCCTTCGAAGAGTATCTCGACACTACAGGAACCTTTACGGACTATGTGCCACCAGAGGCACACTATAGAATGGGCCTGGTGGAACGCCACAATGCCACCTTGCGATCCATTGCGGAACGCATCATCGATGCACATGGGATCGTTGGCCCTGAGCAGATGGAGCAAGCCATAGCTGCCACCACGTTCTCAAAGAATGCCTGCACGTGGTCAAGTGGACGTCCTCCGTTCATTGCAGCTTTTGGCAGAATTCCTCGACATGGAGGCTTGGACCTTTTGTCAGATCAGCATGGTTTGGCAACTGGCGGCACTCGTGAGCACATGCAGCAGCTGGCCGACAGTCTCCGTGCAGAAGCCCAACAGCAGATTGCTGCCATGAATGTGGACTCATCGTTTCGACGATCACTGCTGCGAAAGGCAAAGCCAACTCCTGAGGATGAGTATGTCATTGGTGACACCTTGGCATATTGGAGGTGGACTGCACGAAGCGGCCGCAAAAGAGGTGGCTATAAACTGGCCCGAATGCTGGGCTTCGATCCAGATGGCAAGTCCTTTGGGTTCAGTCTGGCACCAACACCATCAAGTTGGCCCGAGAGCAGGCCAGAAAGGCCTATGGCTTTGAGGCATGGCACCCCGATCCTGCTGATCTTCGTGCCCTTAGAACAGCCTCTGACAACATCAAGAAGGGCATCTTTGAAGATGAGACGTTGCCCGTGGCCGATGATCCATATCAAGAGCTTGGCAACGATGACAACCTCAAAGAAGTCGAACCAGACTTCATGCCACCAGTTTTTACTCCAGTACCAGATCCACTACTTGAACAACTTTCTCAAGTACGACAACAACCTGATTCAGTGCAACCGGATCAAGGATCCATACAACCTCAACTGCCAAACATACAACAATCACAGTCAGTAACCCAGCAACATCAACATATCACAATAGAAGTCACATCCCCAACATACAATCAACAGAACATTTTACAGCAGCAGCAGAACAACACTTTTGGCATGACAGCAGAACAGTTGAGACGGCCAACTGTTCGAACACCAGTGCGTCGAGCAGCACGCTCACGTACACCTAACAGAGCAACACCGAACATACGAGATGAACAGCAGCATGCACACGACATACCAGCAATCGGCACTGGAGCAGACACACCTCCACTGCCAGCAGTACCGGCAGAACACACAGAGACAGTTGAGATCTCAGACACAGAACCAGAGGTAGGACAACAGGTCCCAACAACACCTGAAGCTCTGGCACAACAGGCACACCAACAAAGAGCAACAGGCAGCTCTGACACAAGCCGACAAAGACAAGACAAACGACCAGGCGAGCCTTTGCCTGATGCAACACGCAAACGAGACATGCCAGAGCAAGCACAACAAGCCAGCGCAGCAGCGTCGGCAATAGAACCAGCACAGCCGGCAGAGAAGTCACACTCTGCCCTTACAGCAAACAATGTGACAAGCACAGACTTTTACAGCATGCAGACCGCCAACACGGTGGTTGGAATTCAACAGCATACAAGCCCCAAGCACTGCAGAGCATTCCGTACAGCACAGCAAGCACCCATGCAGATGTCAGACGAAGGCATCACACTCAACAACAAGCACTTCGACGGCACAACAGACATCTACATGCCACATGCATCAACAACATGCTTTAAGGCATACAAAGCAAGTGCCGAATACCAAGGTGATGGAATGAGTGATGACTCAGACGCCTCACAGGAAGACATGTCCAGCTCCAAGCCTCAGCTATCTCCACTGACACGCCAACAACAAAAAGCCCTTGACAAAGAATTACCTTGGCGTGTGATCGTTGAAAAGGGTGGCGACTACCTGGCTGAGTTTGTCAAAGCGGCACAGGATGAGGAGAAGTCTTGGATGAGATTTGGTTCTGTTGAGCCAATTGACCAGAAGACTGCAGATCAAATCATGTCCACAGCGAAGGGTCGCAAACGAGTCCTTCGATCCCGTGCAGCGTATCGAGACAAAGCCAAAGGATGTGGACCCTTCCGAGCGAAAGCTCGAGTTGTGGCTTTGGGTTGCTTGGACCCTGACCTTTACACCTTGGTCCGCGAGAGTGCTACTCCATTGCGGCAGTCAGAGATGTTGGTTTATGCCATTTTCATTTCTGGCCGAAACAGGAAGATGAACCGCGATGGCGCAGTTTGGTATCTTTGGTGTGGCGATGTCAAAACCGCCTTCCTCCAAGGGGAACCAGATCCTCGAGATGAGCCCTTGTATCTGGCACCACCAAGAGACCAGATTAGCATTCTTGCAGAAGTTTTCACTGCACCCTTGTACCTTGTCAAGGGGAACATCTATGGTTTAGCATCAGCACCAAGAACATGGACCATGCATGTTTGCAAGTGTTTGAAAGCTAGCGGGTGGATTCAGCATTCACTTGACAAGATGCTTTTCTTTTTGTACAAGAAGGTCAAGGGATTTGCTGAAGAGATTTTGGTAGCTGTCGCCGTGGTCTATGTGGATGACTTTTTGGTCACATTTTCAGACCACTTCAACAAGAAAGATCTGCTTAGCCTTTTCAGTTGGGGTTCGCAAAGCACGCTGACCACAGACCAGCCATTGGAGTTCAAAGGCAAGGAGATTCACCTGCGCTATGACAATGAGAGGCAACAATATGTCCTTGACTTGAAGCAGGAGAAGTTTATCCAGGCCTTCAAGAGCGGCAACATCCAGGGAAAGAAAACTGATGTTTTGAAACAAGACGATTTCCCTGAATACCGTTCAGTGGCAGGAAGCCTTCAATGGGTCGCAGGACAGACTCGTCCTGATGTGGCGGCGACAGTCAGTCTTCATAGCAAAGGCGGCAAGGCGACCTATGCAGACCTGGCTGCGATGTATGAAGCCGTGGATCACTTGCGGAAGACCAGTGACAAAGGCTTCACCATGAACCCAGCTGCAATTGATGACTCCACCTTGGTCATCACCTATGCGGATTCTTCTTGGGCCAATGCGGAGAACTACGCATCGCAACATGGATGTCTCATTTTGTTTGCAGATGCAAAGGCAACAGATGTAGCCTCTCCTGCATGCCTGGTGGATTGGAAGAGCTCAAGGTCGGGCCGTGTTTGCCGAAGCACCTTGGCAGCCGAAGCAAGCGCTGCAGATTCATCAGTGGATCGATCCAGCTTTGTCAACCTCATGCTCTCCGAAATCCTCCAGAGAACAGCCTCCTTCAAGATCTCCAAGCCATTGCGGATGCTGCAAGTGACGGATTGCAAGTCATTATACGACAGTATCGTTGCTGAAAACCCTTCAGTAGATGACAAGCGAACCATCATTTCAGTGAGGAGCATTCAACAGTACATCACCAGAGACAATACGCATTGGGTACCAACTGACCTGATGTGGGCTGATGGATTGACGAAAACATCGTCAAAACTGATGCAAATGCTCCACCTATGGCTCCAGCATCCATATGCAATGCTACGAGAAATGCAGCACAGAGACCAAGTCCAAAAACAAAGATGAGTGTGAAATTCCAGCCGAATGTCCTTGGTCTCATAGCATCAGCATGTATGCACCGCAGTGCACTGGGCCGAGATATCAGCAAAAAGGGGCGCCTTTTGATTGCAGCCATGGCATGTTTCATTTGATTCAATTGCATTTGCAACACTGGGTATCTTTGCACATACTACAGTGAGAGATCCAATCTGACTTTGATATGTTTCAGAGGGGTTGAAACCATCAACCAGATATATAATTGGATGATATTGGATGTAAATGCGCATGACCTTGTCACCCTTGTGAGCTCTGGTCTCAGTGGTGTCAGCTGCCACGACGACTTAGGTCACCATCATCTTTCACGTGGCCATGCTTCTCAGCATTCGAAGCGTTGGGCAGGTGAAGATCACCCATGAGTTTGCAACCTTTCCACTCAAAATGATTTATTTTCAGGGATTTTCAGGGCCTTTGTTAATTTACCAGAGCCAGAGGCGGCATCTAATCCATATATATATATATATTATATATAGGTGGCTCGGCCCATGAATCGTGAGTACTGGTAGGTTGTAACCCTGAAGATAAGTGGCTTAACCCTACTTATCCTACTTATAACCAGGGATATAACCTACTTACTAAGTGAGATGAGCCACTGGGTATATGCATATAATTGTACATATATATAATTATATATATATGGGGAATTGCATGGAATTCACCTGACAAACACAAGGCTATACTCCTTAGTTGGCCAACGGCAGATACCGTTAGGTTTACTTGGAAACTGGGGACCACCTAAAGTTGTAAGCTTCACATTGGGGCAGAATTTGGAAGACGTGCTCGGGGAAGCATTTGACCTAGGACACACGCACAGAGTTGTGCACATGTTTCTACGACTCAAAAAACCTTTTTGCGGATATACAGATATACACATAAATCATTTTACAAAGATTGATGTTTGATTCATGATGTTTCTGGCTTTTACTTTCTGTACAGATGCACTTCTATAAACGCGTCTCGTTCCATTTGACGCATATTTGGATGATCGCAGCTGACGACCCCATCAATGAAAGATAGCAGATATATCTGCCATAAACCCTATAGTAATCTTAGTTATAAACAAACTGATCCCAGAATTGGATAGAATTGGTTGAAGAGAAAAGCAGGAAAGCCGTATGTTTGGGAGTGGAAACAATGGTTTTCTGTCATGTTTTCAAATGTTTCACCTTAAACCAACCCAAAGAACTTCGCTGAGGTACGCCTGTGGCTTAATGAGCTGCAGAGAAGGCGGCCACCTTTGGAACACTATCTCAGGACTGTTGAACTGGGAGGCGACCAGCTCGGGGAATTGTTCGTTTTTTGATACAGGGCCACGGGGCATAGTTTTGTTTTGGAGGAAGGGAAGGTAAGGTTGGTTAACAATGTTGATGGCAAATTAGGATGATCAAATGATAACATGTTGGATTTTTCATGATTTCATGATTTTCACATTTCGCCTATGTTCATGACATCAGAACATTCACTGTACTTCATTGGTGCCGATTGGCCCTGGTTTCTGTCGACTTCGCCAGGATATGAGGGCGGAAAGATGATGAACATGACTGGGACATGGTCCCTGAGATTTTGGAAAAGGGAAGGGGAGTGAAGATCTATTTCTATGTACATAATATATAATTATATATTACATATAATTTATGTTCTGTAAGCTACGTAAGTTATGTACATATATTATTCTACATATGTTTTTCAATGCGTATATATATATATGAGTATGATTTTTATGTTTATTGTTATATATATATAGAGAGAGATGAAATATATGCAAATATAAGTGCATATATACATATATATATAGGAAGATTATATATACATATAGACTTATAGAGTTATGCAACAATATACCTATATAGTTATAGTAGACGCGATTCTTGAGACATCTTTCATGGTTGGTGCATTGCCCAGGTTAGCGAAACCCTTTGCGGCCTTGGATCATCCTTGGAAGGACCTCTCCAACCGAACTTGCGGAGGCGATATGTTGGTGAAAACCCATGGCTTCGAAGTTGGTAGATGTGGGTAGAACCATGGTAAAACTATGGTAAAACCAAGGGAAAACCAAAAGATATCCTATGTTGATGTTGGGATATGTTGGTATGTTAAGATTGCAGAATATATAGCAGACAAAACCATGATTGTTATTGGATGTTGGGATCATGTTGATGGAATCCTGCATGTTCGCATGTTCTTGGATAAATCATGATCAATTGAATGCGGAGGCACGGAGGGTGGTCATCGTCCAGCGCCAGAACTAGACACCTGGGTGCCTCTGGCAGATTTGATGTTTTGCAGATCAGGGAAATTCCCCAAGCACGTCCAAAACGGACAGAAACCACATTTGCAAATTACAATGGTTCCATCCTCCGTGCTCAACAGAGGGAGTGTGACACATCGGTGTGAGGATCACAGCGGTGCGAGGATTACGACATTCCCGTGCGACCCTGTCTGACTCCAGGTGTGTACTCCAACGATGGACGTCCGGGCAGAGGATAGCTATTCTACGTGGAAGAGGACTTGTGAAGTGAAGGGTTGCTGTGCTACAACATGGCGGTGTCTCAAAATGACAAGTGACTTGAGCTGATGTTTGAACGATGAAATGCTGCCAGATGATCCGTGCCTTTCAGGACTCTGCCGAGCATGTCTGAATCTTGGCTCAGACTCAACCCATGCAGCAGCAAGGGGGAAAAGGCTTGAAACTCTTGTCCTTTGTCTCATGTTTCCTGGAAGTTGTTCAAAAATTTGGGAATCTACGGGCAACCCCCAATTGCAGGGTGATTATTTCACATTGTGTCACCATATTTCACCCAATTATCGGAAGGTTATTTCAGCCATGGTTTCGAAGATGCCCAGATTTTCGCCACACCCAGGCGCTGATGTTGCTCTTCCTGATTTGTGCTTGGTGTTCCGAGCTTGGGAGCTCCAAAGCAGGACGTCTCAGGCCGGCTGGAAAATCGCTCCCATGGCGACCTGATTTTCCACCGTGAACATGGTTATGGGATGTTATAACATATGGTTATGGGAAGTTATGGGGATGCACATTAGTATGCAATTGTATACACCATGTTCAGACTAACCCAGAGGTTTGAGGATTTTGAGCCGTGAGGAGTGGTATAGCATTGAGTGATCTTTGGTGACATCTTTGATGATGCTGTGATGATGAGTCAAAGTCATGAAGGGAGCAGATTCGGGAAAGTCAGATTCTTCTCCGAAAGATGTCGTCACAAAATTATATTATGTGCCCTTGTATACTTATATTTCCTTTTATTGTCAACTCCAATGCTGCTGTTGGATCATAGAATATATCACATAAAGTGTATAAAGTGGCGTGGCCCGAACTGTATGGTAGTCCCCATTGGCAGCAATCCCTGGTTCTGCATAGTCGGTTTTGCTATCATAAACTGATAAGCCTTTCATGAGAACTGGGCAATATATGATGCACCCAACAGTGTAAATTTACAACACGTGCCGGCTCATCAGTCTGCCTTGGTCGTCAGGATGCACGTGTTCTTTGGCGTCCTGGTAATCTTCATCTCCTTTGGTCCCGTGGCACTGGGAGGGGATACCCGAGCGCAAGGACAGAAAATCACATAGAAATTCACTATATGCTTGGTGAGACCGACACATGGTGAAAGCAATGGTTTCACAAGCTAGGAGATCAGAAGCGCCAAGGAAGGTGGCAGCACTAAATGCAATCCCGAGTTTATCCAGGTTACATTCCCGATATTGAGTATCTGAGTATCTAAACTCCAGTATTGTTCAGTGTTCGAAAACTGACATCGGACACCCCTATCTTTGATGGTGAAATCCCACGGTTTTCGATTGAAATTTTCCTTTGAATGAATCCATCGACTACCATAGTTCCTTATGTATATATATATATATATAAATATATCATTTTTTTCTGGATAAATCCTAGTTTTCCCGAAAGTATCCATAATTCCCATGGTGCCACTAGGTCTTTTGGGGACCGTCATCGTGGCTGTCATGGGTTTGATCATCATGGCGGTGCCCAGAGTTCCGGCCTTGTCCTCCAACGTGGCACTGGCGGTGCCGCGGTGTCCGCGGTGGAGCTGGATTTCTTCCGATTTGGTGGAGGAGAAACAGTACCCTCTGGTAATTTAACATAGCTGTTGAAAATGGTGATTTATAAACTGATTCAACCAAAAGAGTTTATAAAAAGATGTGTATGGAATGGGGGCATACACATAAACATAGTGAAAGATTTTGAAAGAGGAGTGTGCTCCGCGTTTTTGATCGCATATTCAGAAGGAAAATCATTGGAACATTACTCCAGTGGATTCGAATGGGCATTCGCCATCGCAGACAAACCCAATGATCAGAGGATTTTCGGATTTTCTGCGCTGGGACGACCGAGCTAGTGACGCTAGTGGGATGGACTCAGATAACTCGGCCTCACTGGAATGATGGTTAGTAAGGGAGATGATCATGAATTATCCCAATATATAATAATATATATTTAATATATAGCCTTATTTCAGGTTTGTGAAATACTATGTATCAGAGGTTATAGTATTAGTAAGAATTAATTATATAGATATTTCACTCTCCGAATATATTTATTATAGATTATTCCTCATATATTATTTAACCAGAATCATCTATTCTCCACCAAGAGGTGCCCACTGGTTTCCAGCGAAATCACCAGGTGATTTGGGTTCTCACCGTGGCACCTTGGCGAGCAGGGGGCCACATGGAAAATAGAGATGAATGGACGGATGGATACTTAGATCTGTTGAAATGGGTATGGATCAATACCTATTAATACCATGTTTAGCGGGATGAACATCCATAAATCCCAGCTATTTTGGGGTTCACTAGGTACCAGGGTTTTGACCCATCCCCAAATAAATGTGATGTAGACATCATTTGTATTTTGCATTATTTTGCTACATGTTCCCAGGTCATGAAACCTGGCAGCTACGAATCGTACAAAACGAACGTCAGGACGACTTTTAAGTCGTACACCAAAAGCATGCCGATCGATTCATGATGGAGTCCTTCCAGATAGATCAGATATCAAGAGATCACAATATTGTAATATTATGCAATATTATTACTGTATATATAAATGTATATAATATTATATATAATATTATGTATGTATATATGTATATATATATATATATTATGTATTGTTTGCTATTCTTCATAATCTCGCACAATCTTGGGACATACCACAACCACAAGCCATATCCCAAGCAGAGCAGTAAGGTCTTTATGGAGCTGGTGTCGCTTTTTCTCGGTCAGCATGACCATGAAGTGTGCCGTGGCAGCCGGGTTCGTTTCAACGACACCGAGGGTGGTTGTTCGGTGCTGCTTAGAGAATCTCTCAGGACTATTTCTTGGAAGGGTTGCAGCCAAAATATTGATAAATTATTATAGATTACTATGTAAATGATTTTGAAAAGTGGCATTCCCCTACTGATAAATTGGAGGGGTTGTACTGTAGAATATAACCCCGGGTTAACATTACTTTGAACAAATACGATGTATTTTCTCAGAGTTCCTCATGCCAAATTTCACAAAGCCCGCTTTTAAGCAGGAGGTTTGCGAATAAGGAATTGGTATAGGGATGCAAGTTTTTTCAAAGGCTGAATCCAAGTTTGAGAGGTTCTTTCTATTTTGATCGATGCGCACGATTAAAACTCATATGGTTTTCAGAATTTGATGGCTCAGCTTCCAAGCCACGGCTACATAGAAGATATTCGTTGTGTAATGTTGGAGCAAATTCCATCCAATCCCCTCCTGTTAGAGGCCATTCCTGCTTCAACGTGGATGCAGCGCCGGTGTGGTTTGGAGCCCTTTGGATCAGTGGTGCCTGCCACCATGTCTGCAAGACCCAAGCACTGAGACAATCCAAGTGCTTTTCCTTGGGATACATTTCAACAAACAACCCAAGCGAGTCTACAGAGTGAAGTGAATTAAAGTAAATGAAATGAAAATTGAAAGTTTGGCCTGTCATGGCATGTCACATCAACAATCCAAAGTCCTTGGTCACACTCAAATCTCCTTAATTGCAACGCGCTTTTTCAATTGTATAAGGAATTGTGGTTTGCAACAACAATCCAAAATCCTTGGTCACAATCAAATTTCCTCAATCCGTTACACCGATCCCCCTTCCCCCAGCCAACTCCCCCCAACACGGGGGGGTAGCAGTCTCACGCGCAGAAACTCGTGCGGGTTTTTAAAAATCCTTAATTGCAAACCTCCCTTTGCAATTGAGGAATTGGGGTTTGCAACAACAATCCAAAGTCCTTGGTCACAATGAAATCTCCTTATATAATTGCAAACTCCCCTTTGCAATTAAGGAATGGGTTTTGCAATTACGGATTCTCTTCTACTTTTCATTGCCAAACCTTCCAAAAAACAGTCTTGGGGCCAAAAAGTAAAAGAAAAATCTTGAATTGCAGACCCTAACCCTTTGCAATTAAGGATTTTTCTTTTACTTTTCAGGGCCAAACCTGCAAAAACAGCTTTGCGGCACTAAAAAGCACATGAGAAACCCTTAGTTGCAAACCCCATTTCAAGGGAGGTTTGCAATTAAGGAAATTTGATTGTGACCAAGGACTTTGGATTGTTGTTGCAAACCACAATTCCTTATACAATTGAAAAAGCGCGTTGCAATTAAGGAGATTTGAGTGTGACCAAGGACTTTGGATTGTTGATGTGACATGCCATGACAGGCCAAACTTTCAATTTTCATTTCATTTACTTTAATTCACTTCACTCTGTAGACTCGCTTGGGTTGTTTGTTGAAATGTATCCCAAGGAAAAGCACTTGGATTGTCTCAGTGCTTGGGTCTTGCAGACATGGTGGCAGGCACCACTGATCCAAAGGGCTCCAAACCACACCGGCGCTGCATCCACGTTGAAGCAGGAATGGCCTCTAGCAGGAGGGGATTGGATGGAATTTGCTCCAACATTACACAACGAATATCTTCTATGTAGCCGTGGCTTGGAAGCTGAGCCATCAAATTCTGAAAACCATATGAATTTAATTCGTGCGCATCGATCAAAATAGAAAGAACCTCTCAAACTTGGATTCAGCCTTTGAAAAAACTTGCATCCCTATACCAATTCCTTATTCGCAAACCTCCTGCTTAAAAGCGGGCTTTGTGAAATTTGGCAGTTCCTCACTGGTCTTTAGGAGGATTCATTTCTACTGGACACTAAACTGGACTGCTGCTTCAGAGTCAGAGCCACTTAAGCCGTTTACAATCATTCATTTTTGGCCTAGCAATTGTGATTTATGGTGATTTATGGTGATTTTAATGAGAAATGATCATCAAATTGGAGATATTTTGAGGTGTTCCATAGTTTTCCCATGTTTTTGTCAGCCCCTTTTTACGTTTTTTTTTGCCATGCCTAGGCCTGGCTGGAACTATAACCAGGGAATCAAGCGCCGCGGCACGTTGCACAAAGTGATGACATGGGCATCGAGATCATGATATGGGATGGTCATGGAGGATTAAGTAAAAACAGTGTTTTTTTTGGGTTTTATAGGGATATAGCTGGGATATAATTGGGATATTATGATATGATTGGGATTTATATATATCTATCTATCTATATATATAGAGAGATAGATAGATGGATGTCTCGCCCCTGAGTTAGGCTGAGGCAGATTTGCTCTGAAGGCGATGGAGAGAGAGAGAGAGAGAGAAATACTATATATATATACCTTTATATATGGATGAATTATAATGACCACATTGTGATGTCACTGGAATGGTGGAGGGGGAATCATCCTCGAATGGCCGCAATAAATGGCTATTTTCAGGTTAGTGAATGATGATAATTTATAGTTAAGCCAGACATATACGATGTATGTGCAATGATGTGTCCATAAGCTGATAGAATTTCAACCTGTCCCTATAAGCAACAGCATCATTGCTGATCCCAAGGTCTTGGTGCCTGTTGGAGTACATTGTATGTGGAGACGCCCTTTACAAAAACCAACCCAATTCTCAGGTATGTTTCGTGGCAGCAAGGACCCCAGTAACCAGCTCATACCAGCTCTGAGATGCCGATTTTAGTGGCGTTCATCTAGAAGTAATGCACATATGTTGATGGTGTTGAATCCATCATATTTGAATTATAACGACTTCACTGCGACCCCACTGGAATGGTGGTTGATAGACGTTAATAGGGTGAATTATCTCCAATAAAGCCTTATTTCAGGTTAGTGAATTATAGTAGTATTATTTACCCAGATCATATTCCATGATTTTCAGCTGCAACAGCATTTTGAAGAACATTGCAGAACATTGCTGGAGCTATTAATGGCACAATCATCACATGTATGCAAGTGTGATCATGTGATCATGCATGATCATGCCAAATGATGCCAAATGGCTAGTTGAGTCTCATGATCATAACATCATCAGCACCACGGATCATCATCACTCCAGCTCATCCTTTCGCAGGTTCCATTTCGAAGTACTTCTTGTGCCTTGTTTTTGCAAAGCAACACTCAACCCAAGAAGGGCAAAGACAGGTGGCATCTAGGCATGTGAGAGTTCAGGGTTCATTTTGAGAACCACATCCTCAAGAATACAGTAACACAGTAGTGAGGAAGATCGAGGAACTAGGTTCGGGGAGCAGGATCAGCTGGTTTGCCAAATCAATGAGCGAAATGATTTGACATGCCATGTGGCGTAGTCGTTCCGCGAAAAACTAGTGGAGTCACAATATTCACGTTGAGTGGGTCCTTGTTGTTCTCAGCAATCACTATAATTATCAACCAACACATACTGACACCAAGATTGCACATGTACATGTCCGACATTTTTGCAGCGAACAACTGTTGCCAATCAGATACATTCGGCTTGTTCGGAGAGGTCGTTGAAGTCACACCAGATGTTCATGGTGGGGAGTTGTCCCAAGAGGTGCTGGTGTTTGGTTCTTGCACCTGCAGAGTTTGTCCGTATATTTTAAGCTGGTTGGTGGTTTGGAACATTGTTTTTGTTTCCATATATTGGGAATAATCATCCCAACTGACTAATATTTTTGAGAGGGGTTGAAACCACCAACCAGTAAGCGTTTAACTTCTGGTAATTTTAAATTTATCAATCTGCTGTCGATATAGTCACGATGTGTCATAGTTCAATCATTGAACTAAATGGCCAAATTCCACAGCCATGTCGCAAATAACTAGAGGGTATAGCTATTAGGCTATAAGTTAATGGGGTTTATGAACCAACCAACATAAGTGGGTGATTGTCCACATGTTTTCCAACCGCATTCTCAGGATTTCAGGTCTAGCTCCATGGTTTGTCTTCCGCTTCGTTGCGTTGAAGTTCATCTCCTTAGCCTCCGAAGTTCTGACTGCAGTGGTGGGGTTGGCGGGTTGAAACCAGAAAGCAGATGAGGAGTCTGTAACATATGGATGTCCCATGCGTGTACTGTCGTGTGTCTCAAGGATTATCATGATTATCATGATTATCATGATTATCATATATAATCATATATATATATATCATGATTATCATGACATTCCATACACACACATATATATATACACGTGTAATTGTGTATATACATATGTATATATATGTGTAATTATGTATATACCTATATATATATAGCATTCTCAGCTGGATCATACTCATGCTGTATCATTTGCAACTTCATTTCCCTGCATCTAAGGACACACTGTGGAGCTTGCGGGGCAAAGAGATCAGAGACGGCTGGGGTGCCGAGTTCTGCTTTGCTAAGCGCTTCTGCTAGGTGTTTTTGACATGGGGAATATACGGGAATATGCGAAAATATGGTATAATATGACAATATATATGGTAACAAATGTCAACATATGGTAAGATATTGGTAATATTTTGCGAGCCAAGTGGGGACCACTATCAACCTCTCAGTAGAGCCAATCTGCAATGCGGTTTTGGAAAATGTGCATTTGGAAATTGATGGAAGCTGTGCACACTTGTGGTGTTTCCAGCCATCGCAACATGAAATCGCTGTCTCGGCTGAGTGCCATAGCAGTACGACCCAGCTCACTGGCTGTCTGTGCCAGAATAACAACCTCAATTCCTTATACGTCATGGAATCTATATACGAGCCTTTTACACATAGCTAGACACCTATCATTAATATAACATCATCAGCAACTGTTTGCTTATATAGTAGTATATATATATATTGTCTTGATTGTCTTGTATGTGCATATATAAATGCCATAATAGATACATTCCTTTCCAGACTCGGCTTTTTGCGAACTGAGGCTTAGAGTCCAAGTCGGAGTTGGTTCAACGAACTGAACGACACTTGGTTCAGATCCCGGAGACCAACGATGAAGAAACCGCGGAGGGGTCTGACCCATCGGTGACTGTCGACTTCTACTCCTGGATGCATGGATGCAAGAGGCGTCCGTGCCACGTGGGGAGTGGCCAGGGGACTAAGCACATTCCACCATGTTCCACGTGCTTGTATTGGTAATCAGGATCGTGCACACTTTCACATTTTCTTGCAGCACTGCAAATCACTGATTCAGTCAGAGGACCGGGTTGCTGGGGCTCCATTAAGTCCTGTGAGTGGGATTTGGTTTGTTTGCTTGATAGTTCATGATGTTGATGGCGAGCTTTGGTTCAGGAAAATTGAAACGACTTGGCGCTGTTCTGAGGAAGTACTACTTGGCATATCTTGGGTATCCGCCACTGTTCTTTGCTGGGCCTATCCTTTCCTACAACGCATTTGTGTCTCAGCTCGAGAAGCCCATTTTATCCTACTCGGCCGGCATGGCGCCTGACAACGAGCAAGCGAAAAGAGCGAGGCACGGCGTGATCTACTACGGCATCCGCGTTTTGATCTTGATGGTACCTGCGTTGTTGATTTATTTTGGTTTTGCGTGATTTTCTTGAGGAATGGATGGGAATGTATCTGATGTTTGCTTGTGTTTACATGTGCATATGTAGTTGCAGTTTCATGTCATGTTTATTGCATGATTTTACATGCAGGGACATACATATACGACTTAATACCACCGAGACATAATATGTAATATTGTGTATTTTATGTATAACATTATATAACAGATACATTTGTTTGCACATATTTTCCCGTGATTTCCACTACAGTACTCAAAAAAACACACCTCTTCACTGAGAGTAACACCCGATTACATCATGGCAGCCGAGGTGGTCATCGAGGTCTTTTCAGTCTACTGGTGGTACAGTCAGAAGCTGAATATGATCACATGTACCAGCAAAGATCCATACCCCAGACGCTTGTGCGGCAGTTTTTGGCTAGAGTTGGTTTATGTTGGTTTCTTTGCCCCATGATCTCATGTTTCAGGCAAAAATGTGAATGAACAGGATGTGAAAAGACTTCGCATGCTGCGAGGATGTTTATTTGACGACCTGTCGGTTTGGGAGCTTTACATTGGCATGCACGTGGTCTTGCACTTTACGTGGCCACTGGGCCGGGGCAAAAGTCGGCAGGTTGTCCCTACCCGTTTTCACTCCAGTTAAAGGTATAGGCAGCAGATGTCTGCGCTAGAATTGATCCAAGCACATCTCAACAAATCCAAATTCACCTTTGCGCAAGCGAAGAAACTGGAGCCAGCCCTTTTCCACTGCAGCTGGGGGCTAGTTGAAGTTCTACTGATTGGAAGATATGGAAGATGAGAGGCTGCATTGATTGGATGATGAGAGGAGATGACCTTGATCCTTCCATGGCACCCCTGCCATCAGATATGGAGTTAGGGAACTGGCTAGTGGCCCCTGAACTGGGTATAGTTACTTGGTGGCTCATAATAGCATCCCGTCTAACTCAATTATCATCACCCACTGACCAAGCAGCTACCCTCTGCTGAAATAAAAAGTTGGACCCTGAAAATCGCCCCTATTTTTAGATTTTTTAGTGGAAGCCAATCCTCCAAACCCTAGCAGGGTCTATGTTCATTTGCCAGAGGGTAACCAGTCTTCCATGGTCCCAGGCTTTCCTTGATGATCATTTGGCGTTTCGGCCGACTCGTTGCCCTGGCCGATGGCATTGACTCCTTCGAGACACTCGCCCTGGCCGATGGAAGACTCGCGCGCGATGGATGATGGAAGACTCGACGTGTCGAAAATGTGGTCAAAACATTTCAAAACCCATTCTTGGCTGATGATTATTGGCATTTAATAATAGGGATTCTAACCATCAAAATATATCAAAATATGGGAATATCCGTGGATATACAGTAATTAGTATGATTGATACATTATGGTTGGTTGAGAATGGGCTCGGGAGTTACAATGTCGTAGGCCCAACCTCATAAATCATCACCAAAATACCAGAAATGGGTTGCACAGACAATCCAAAATGTGTTTGTTTGGGTTTGCCACTCCATTTTTGCCTTTGTTTGCATATGATGCTGCTGCCTGCTTGTGGATATGTATTGAGAGTATATTATATGAACATGTCTGGCCAAGATTATCCAAGTTAGAGCTGGGAAGTGCACCTCAAATTTCATTGTGAAACAACGACTTTCCAACAGCTAAGGAACATGCTTGGATGCGTGTCATTCAACTACACCTTCACAGAGTTTTGGCGTATTTGGCACGCCTCCATGAACGAATTCATGCTGAGGTGTTTTGCCTGCATATCCAGGCCCTAGGTCCGGTAGATGCCTTCTCGCATGGTGACTTGCTGATAGCAACAGGTGGTTCGTCAGTGCAGAATGCAAATGTATGCGATTAGTGATCTGTATATGGATGTCATTATATGCATGTGGTCATGTGGATACATATGTGCACAGAGATGTACAGAGTATATCCAACTGCAAATGCACGAAAACACCAAGATAGACGGGGGTTGTTCATGAGGAAGGGACCGGTGACGGTGACCTTCCAGTGATTGATACTTTGCCAGCTTAGAACGATGTTTCCAGAATTAGATGATGGGACACTTTGCAGGACTGCAGGACCTCAAAAAAAAATCATGGCATCCAACAACCATGATTTCTGCTTCAGTTTTTGATGCCTGAAACCAATTCAGTGAGATGTTTTCATGTGCTGGCTCCAGGTATCTATATCTCCCATTGGGTGGGAAGAATCGGGCCTGGCTGGCTGTGCCCGTGGTTTTCCTGTTTGTGGGATTCTGGCACGAGCGTACTGGTGACTTGGAAGAGCAGGGTCCTCACCGACCATGGAATGGTACTTGCAATATATAGTGATAGCTGGCTATGTTTTCAAGATGTTGCGGCCTTCTGGTTTGGAAAGAGATGCAAAGCATAGATTATATGAATTGATATGTCCTTTATGTAGGCTCTTCTGCTTGGCGGACGTATACATTCCACTTGATTTCGACTCAGACTTGGAGTCTGAGATAGCGACTCCTGAAGATTGGGGGCTCTATCAGAGAATGGTGTGCCCCACTTGGTGATCGAAGCGGGGCCAAGGATTTGGAACTCAACCTGCCTGGTATGCATGGGCTTTCTTGAACGCACTTGGCGCCACTTGGCTGCTGAACTTATGGCCATGGTCACTGGATGTCACTGTGTAGTGTTGATTTCCAAAGCCTCAGCTGTTGGTTTCTGTTTCCCAAATTGAGACCGAGAAAGGACCTGGCCATGCCGCAGGTGATCATCAACAAGTTCTTGGAGGACACCCTGGCACGATATCGGAGACTCAGCACGGATGGGAGGGGCGTAGGGCCATGCGACAGGTCAGCATACACTTGCTGATAATCTGTGATAATTTGATACACCCGACCCGGACCTAGAATCGCACAGCTGCGGCAGACAGAGTGGTCAGAACTTTGCACTTGCAGACTGGATGGAGTATGATGGCCAACAATCAAAATTCAATCTATCTATACGCACCGCACCTATGCAATCAGTCTAGAGATGGACTTGGAGAATGCTAGCCAGCTCTTTTGATCAAACAAAAATGGGTTTATTCCCATTTCATCCCATTTCTATGGGAGCTCTGGGAAAACACATTTCTAGCACATGAAAACGCCCAAAGCAGCTCCCCTTAAGTTTGGCTCAGGAAAAGTGGGCGATGCGCTGCCAGTGGCCCAGCTCGTTGGCTTGCGGCTGGGACTGGAGTGGTGCTGGAGAGGTTGCTATAAATGGTGGGAGGCCAAAGCATGTAAAAATATGTAAAAACCACGGCTTCCTGTAGGTTTTCCCTTGAACCAATCCATTTCTTATATATGATAATAGCATGTTGCGTGATCCTGCATGATCTAAGTTGTTGCTTCTGCACACTTTTAGAGATACAATGAAAGGTCACACATATCCCCAGGTGGAGCTGGAAAAAAGCCGACTCAGTGATCAGCCAAGAAGTGACTGGGCAGAGATTCCAGAGATTCCAGTTGGGATTCTGTGAAATTCTGTGAACATGGATTGAACATGGGGATATACCCTCTGGCTATTTAACATAGCCATGGGAAATGACCCATTTATAGATGGTTTACCTATTAAAAATGGTGATTTTCCATGGCTATGTTAAATAACCAGATGGTAAATGATATAATTATGGAATAATTACCTGGATTTTTCAATGTGTTTCTATGGCAATTTCATGATGGGATGAGTAGCCCAAGTCGTCATCCCACGGTGAAAAGTGTTTCTCAAGATTCCTCAAAAAAAAACATTTGCAGACACACCCACTTGGTTGAAACATGTTGAAACACGGATTATACTCGTGAATACCCAAGGTGACACTATTTTGCGCCTTGGGTGTGCATCCATTTTTTGAACTATAGTGACAGTCATCGCACTGTAGGATGGGCGGCAGAGGCAGCTTTCTTTCTGGGCAGAGGCCGGGTACCGCCTGATGTGCCGGGTGGCCATAGCTGCTGCTCAACGGCTTTAGCCGTCCTCAGTTGATTCCTCGCAGGTTTGGGTCCGGTGGCATTGATCTTAGTGTAGCACAGCTGCACCAGCTGCACCAGCGGCGCATATAGGTTCAGTAATCCCATGGTAAGATACAAATGCTGCCGGTGGCCTCCATTTCTGTATCCGGTGCAAGTTGCAAAGACTCTGTCAAGTTACCACTATATACTGAAAATTTGACACTATAATTACATACATTTGGATGGCGATGAGAGAGATAGAGAGAGAGAGAGAAATTATATGTACATGGGTGCTAGGTTTCAATTGGAAGCCGTGACTCATCCCTCTACATCCCACTTGACTGATTTTTATGACGTTTGGCTATGATCCAAACATGGACATTTTATATCATTTTATCAAATCCAACAAGTCTCCAAAACTGGCTTCTCTAAATCTAATCGATGGGATTCTCCAAAATCGCGAAAAAAACATTGGCTGAGGAATGTCCCAGCAATCTACCTCTCCAACTCCCTACAATTCTATCACAGCATGCTGCTCTGCTGCAAAAACTGGTGCCTAAAAATGTGCCACAAAATTTGTCCGGTGGATTCCAGGTAAATTACTCAGAAATACTCAGAATCTGGTCGACAGATTTTGAGTTAAGCATCTAAGCATCCAGTTTCCAAGGGATTCATTGTTGACCCACACTCAGTGTTGCTACCAAGTTTAGGGTCTTAAGAATCCTCACTTTGACCGCCACTGGGGATGTTGCACATAAAATGATTGTTTCGAAAAAAAAGAGGGGTGTAATGCTGTGAAAAAAGTATGGAGGTTGCGCCAAATATGTCAACACACTTTCAGAAACATTTTTTTGGTATATGTTTCGATAGTTTTTGTTTTTGTTTCCACAGGAGGCGGTCTTTCGTATTCCATCCGCACACTGGGGAGGGGGTTCCCTCTTGTTCCACGCAAGAGGGAGCACTCCTGCGAGCGCAAACACATGTCGCAGACTACTGTGGAATCTATGGAAGCTATAGTGGATGAGGGGTCACGTCAAAAATGGAGACCCCGTAAGAGATTTAAGATTCTGGCTTCCCCCTCACCTTTTTGCTCAACTGTCCACCAAACCGCCGAGGTTAATGCGTGGCTGGCACTCAGCAGCCTTACTGGTCACATTGGTGGTCACTTTTGGATGTAACGCACAAGTGGTGGACGCTCTCCGTGCCGAGAAGCCACCACCGCCGCCTCACGCGCAATCGCTCCAGAGCATGAGAAGCTACGATGAGTCTCCCTCGGCGGGTGGCTAAATGGTGAGAAATTCTGGATGAACAGAATCCCTAAACGAAACCATGGATGGGATGAAACACCACTTGTGACTGGGACCATACAAATCAATATAATAATCATACAATGCTGGGTGTTTAATATTAAGGGGTGGAATCATGTGTTCTTGAACTCGGGTCTTGGAACGATTAGCTGTGGCCCTCGTCATCGTTTTGCTTCCGGTTCTCTCCTGTGCCACTGCCATTTGGACGTGCCGGGTGCAGGAAAGTGCCATCGTTTTCCACAGCACAGCTGGTTGATGGTTTGATGTTGTTTTACGTTTTTGTGGGAAGAAACCCCAATTGAATACAGGTGTAATTCCCCACCTGCCAGGTGAGGGTTGTTAGATTTTATGTCAGTTGCCTCCTCGTCCTCCTTCTCCTCCTCCTCCTCCTCCTCCGCCTCCTCCTGCCTCGTCCTCCTCTCCTCCTCCTCCTCGTCCTCCTCGTCGTCCTCGTCGTCCTCGTCGTCCTTGCTCAACTGCGACCCGCGATCCACAGTGGTCTCTGCCGGACCTCAACCACGACCATCCACGCCCAGTGTTCCCTGCCGGACCTCAACCACGACCATCCACGCCCAATGTTCCCTGCCGGACCTCAACCACGACCATCCACGCCCAGTGTTCCCTGCCGGACCTCAACCACGACCATACACGCCCAGTGTTCCCTGCCGGACCTCAACCACGACCATCCGCGCCCAGTGTTCCCTGCCGGACCTCAACCACGACCATCCGCGCCCAGTGTTCCCTGCCGGACCTCATGTCGGAAGATATGGGACAAAGAATGTGCAGAAGAAAGTTAGAAAGAATGTCAGAAAGAATGTCAGAAGATATGCCAGAAGATATGCCAGAAGATTTATGCCAGATAGAATGCCAGATAATATGCCAGAAGATATGCCAGATAGAATGCCAGATAGAATGCCAGAAGATTTGCCAGAAGATATGCCAGATAGAATGCCAGAAGATATGCCAGATAGAATGCCAGAACATATGCCAGAAGATATGTCAGATAGAATGCCAGATAGAATGCCAGAAGATATGTCAGATAGAATGCCAGAAGATTTGCCAGATAGAATGCCAGAAGATTTGCCAGATAGAATGCCAGAAGATTTGCCAGATAGAATGCCAGAAGATTTGCCAGATAGAATGCCAGAAGATTGCCAGATAGAATGCCAGAAGATTTGCCAGATAGAATGCCAGAAGATTTGCCAGATAGAATGCCAGAAGATATGCCAGATCATATGCCAGAAGATATGCCAGATAGAATGTCAAATAGAATGTCAGAAGATATGTCAGATAGAATGCCAGAAGATTTGCCAGTAAGAAAATGTATAAATGTCATGGTGGGGATCACACGAAGTAAAGTAATTGTTATTGATTATTCTAATGATTCGTAAAACTGTCATAAACTATTGTATATTGCTGTTTTCTTTCCTTGATCCACCTGATATTTCAGATGGTTTGAAAATGGTTGAAATATGTTGAAATCACCAACCAGACGTTGCGTTGTATAAGTTGTGTTGCACAAAGCTTGCAACTTATGCCAGCTGCTGCAGAATTGCAACCCAGCTGACCCGGAGAAATGTGAAGAGAAAAATTAGAGAGTACATGTGAATACAGTATGTAGAGAATAGTGACCAATTATTATTGAAATTGGTCAAATTGGCACAACCCCTGCTAATCAGCTGGTTGTTTTTGCATCCCGGGTTAACATTATGGGATTCTTGGAGTGGGCGAGCTTCTTCCGGATTCCTGTCATGTGCTGGGAATAATTCGCTTGGTTTATGAAAACATATTTGTTGTGGTTCATCGCTTTGTGCTGTGTGTTCATTTAAGATTCACACTTGATGATTACCCTTTGAGTACCATGGCAATGGAAAACCCCCATGTATAGATGATGCTCCCGTTTCATAGGGCCATAGGGCCTAGATTTCCATGGATTTCCCACAAAAAATCCCCCATTCCCAGCCACAAAGCCATGTCAAGGGCCTGGCTTTCTCCTTGCTACCTACGAGTCCTCCGATGTGGCATTGTGGGACATGTCACCCGGCTGCGGCACTCGGCCGCTATGGTTTTCAGGGCCCCTACCGCTGAAGTGTTCGGCCCAATATGAATGTGTGTGTGAAAATGAGGTATACTCCCAATTAGTCTTAAATTGTTATTATGAGCTGTAATGGTTCGGGAAGGCCATTCCCCTTTTTCCCGAATGCGTAGCGAAGGGTTCCCGTTTATAGTTGGGGGTCTGGGGGTTGGACCTTTGTTCGCCGCCAGTTGGTCAGCGCGTCGTTTTCGCGTCGTTTTCGCGTCGTTTTTCGCGTCGTTAATTCGGTGTCTATAGGGAAGCTGCAAAACCGCGTGTCTTTTGCGACGTAGATGTCGCAGTGTCTATAGGGGAAGCTGCAAAACCTCGTGTTTTTTGCAACGTAGATGTCGCAGTGTCTATAGGGGAAGCTCCAAAACCTCGTGTTTTTTGCAACGTAGATGTCGCAGTGTCTATAGGGGAAGCTGCAAAACCTCGTGTCTTTTGCGACGTAGATGTCGCAGTGTCTATAGGGGAAGCTGCAAAACCTCGTGTTTTTTGCTACGTAGATGTAGCAGTGTCTATAGGGGAAGCTTCAAAACCTCGTGTGTTTTGCAACGTAGATGTCGCAGTGTCTATAGGGGAAGCTGCAAAACCTCGTGTTTTTTGCTCCGTAGATGTCGCAGTGTCTATAGGGGAAGCTGCAATACCTCGCGTGTTTTGCGACGTAGCTGTCGCAGTGTCTATAGGGGAAGCTGCAAAACCTCCTGTTTTTTGCTACGTAGATGTAGCAGTGTCTATAGGGGAAGCTGCAAAACCTCGTGTTTTTTGCTACGTAGATGTAGCAGTGTCTATAGGGGAAGCTGCAAAGCCTCGTGTGTTTTGCAACGTAGATGTCGCAGTGTCTATAGGGGAAGCTGCAAAACCTCGTGTATTTTGCTACGTAGCTGTCGCAGTGTCTATAGGGGAAGCTGCAAAACCTCGTGTTTTTTTTTTACGTGGATGTCGCAGTGTCTATAGGGGAAGCTGCAAAATCTCGTGTTTTTTGCTCCGTAGATGTCGCAGTGTCTATAAGGTAAGCTGCAAAACCTCGTGCGTTTTGCTACGTAGCTGTCGCAGTGTCTATAGGGGAAGCTGCAAAACCTCGTGATTTTTGCTGCGTAGATGTCGCAGTGTCTATAGGGGAAGGTTCAAAACCTCCTGTTTTTTTGCTACGTAGATGTAGCAGTGTCTATAGGGGAAGCTGCAAAACCTCGTGTGTTTTGCTACGTAGATGTCGCAGTGTCTATAGGGGAAGCTGCAAAACCTCGTGTTTTTTGCAACGTAGATGTCGCAGTGTCAATAAGGGAAGCTGCAAAACCTCGTGCGTTTTGCTACGTAGCTGTCGCAGTGTCTATAGGGGAAGCTGCAAAACCTCGTGATTTTTGCTGCGTAGATGTCGCAGTGTCTATAGGGGAAGCTGCAATAACTCGCGTGTTTTGCTACGTAGCTGTCGCAGTGTCTATAGGGGAAGCTGCAAAACCTCGTTTTTTTTTACGTAGATGTCGCAGTGTCTATAGGGGAAGCTACAAAAACCTCGTGTTTTTTGCTACGTAGATGTAGTAGTGTCTATAGGGGAAGCTGCAAAACCTCGTGTTTTTTGCTACGTAGATGTCGCAGTGTCTATAGGGGAAGCTGCAAAACCTCGTGTTTTTTGCTACGTAGATGTAGCAGTGTCTATAGGGGAAGCTTCAAAACCTCGTGTGTTTTGCAACGTAGATGTCGCAGTGTCTATAGGGGAAGCTGCAAAACCTCGTGTTTTTTGCTCCGTAGATGTCGCAGTGTCTATAGGGGAAGCTCCAAAACCTCGTGTTTTTTGCAACGTAGATGTCGCAGTGTCTATAGGGGAAGCTGCAAAACCTCGTGTCTTTTGCGACGTAGATGTAGCAGTGTCTATAGGGGAAGCTGCAAAACCTCGTGTTTTTTGCTACGTAGATGTAGCAGTGTCTATAGGGGAAGCTGCAAAGCCTCGTGTGTTTTGCAACGTAGATGTCGCAGTGTCTATAGGGGAAGCTGCAAAACCTCGTGTTTTTTGCTCCGTAGATGTAGCAGTGTCTATAGGGGAAGCTGCAAAATCTCGTGTTTTTTGCTCCGTAGATGTCGCAGTGTCTATAGGGGAAGCTGCAATACCTCGCGTGTTTTGCTACGTAGCTGTCGCAGTGTCTATAGGGGAAGCTGCAAAACCTCGTGTTTTTTTTTACGTAGATGTAGCAGTGTCTATAGGGGAAGCTGCAACACCTCGTGTTTTTTGCTACGCACAGTAGTACTTGGAAGTAGTTTGTGCGAGCTTTGTAGTACACAGTAGTACTGGGAACGACTTTGTGCAAGCTTTGTAGTACAAAGTAGTACTGGGAACGTGTTTGTGCCAGTTTTGTCGTACAAAGTAGTACTGGGAACGACTTTGTGCAAGCTTTGTAGTAAAAAGTGGTACTGGGAAGTGCTTTG